ATCTATACCAGCACCCAGTATGGAGATATGTCAATCCCATTTATTTTCAAACAGTGCAAAGCACCTGTTATGAGTTTCTGCTCTTGGTAAACTCACTCCCTGCTTTTCATTCATTGTGATGTGAACCCATGTGGTTAAAATGAGAATATTGTGAAATATGACTGTATGTCTGTGTGTGTAAGCATGTTAACCCTTCAAAGGAGTACTAGTGTGCAGACATCAGAACAATTTACACTGAGGAATGTCCTTTCTTTTTGTGTGCTGTAAACTCTTGTTCTTGAGAGTATTCATGAAAGTGGTTTCCTAAATATTTCCCCATCAGGATTATGGACCATGTTCTGTATACATTCCCATTCTATGCCAGTAGAATGTGAACACCTGTTACTATCCTACTCCAATATATATGTGTGTGTAGTGTAACAGTATTTAAAGACTGGAGGTATTGTTTTCTCCAGTTAGAACTTTCCTGACTGTTTGTATAAGGACTATTATAATGTTCTAGTTCCAGATTGTATTCCAGATGGTAGTCCAGAAGTAGATCCTAAGCTTAGCTGCAGATACCCGATTGTCCGGACTGGACTGGAAGATTCGGCCTGCCTGATGTGTCACCGAGGCTTAGCCAGAAGCTGACATAAGCTACAGCTAAGTGGACAGTTGACCACTATCTTTTTATAACCGGATTTTATATCCACAGCCATTTAGTTATCATTTGAATTTATATTGATTTGAAAATCCTAATAAATGTTAGTTTTAATGTTCCTACAGCTTTATGGAGTTTCCTTTTAACTGTAAACATTGTCAGTGAACTTAAGAACATTTAAATATACAAGATTAATTACAGTAGGGAATAAGATGTGGGCAAACCCAGAATCCTCTCATTTAACCAGCAAGGCTGGGGTTACTATAAGACCGTATGATGTTTCACTGTTTGTAGTTCCCTCTGTAAAGTGCACATAGTGCATTCGCTAGTGTAAAGCGAAGTTACCCGCCACACTGGACACTGTAGTGACGGGGAATGCAAAACAGGGTATGTCCTTGAACGTAAAGAAAGCGGTAATGGTTAAATCAAAGAAAACAACACCACTAGTGTGATATTAGAATAGAAGGTAAAAAGTTAACCCAAGGTGATCAGTTCAAATAACTGGATACAGTCATAACATCAAATGAAAGACATGTGTCAGAAATGAAGAGCTGACTAGGCCAGGCTTTGGCTGCATTTCACAGAATTAAGAACATCTTGTGCAACAGGTGCCTCTCTTTGGATGTCTGAAAGAGAGGATTACAATGTTGTTATACAGAACCTATATTATTTTAAGGTAGTGAAACATGGAATATGAATGCACAAATTAGAAATAATTTTGAGGCAATGGAGATGTGGTATCTCAGATAAATGTTAAGAATCCCTTGGACTGCTAGTGTAACTAACAAGGATTGCTTGAAGGAAGCTTATGACAGCAGATCTATATATATAGCTATAAGAACAAGACAAGCATTGTTCTTTGGTCATATGATGGGGGGCTTTGGAGAACACTGTGACTGGGGAAAATCATCAGTAGAAGATGGAGAGGCAGATCGAGAGGGATGACAGATGGATTGCAACGCTGGCACAGAGGGATATCATCGGCGGAAATTATTCAGAGGTCACAGGTCCAAGATCTGGGGAAATGCTTGAACGGCCACACAAATCGGCAGGACACATGATGATGATGAGCATGTATTGCTGTTAAGGTCAAGAGTAGTGTCTTTAGGCTTTTTTGTTTCTCCAGTGCAAATGGGTAAGTTGGGACAAAGCAGAGAGATTGGCTAGTTGTGCACCAGGAAGTGGTGAACTGATTGCTGACAAGGTAGATATTAGTTAAAGCCATCTGGGTGCCAAGAGAATATCAACCATGCAGACACAAACAAACAATCACAAAGGTCTGGAGAGAATAATACAGTGGGGAGTTTCCCAAAGGCCATTTAGGAGCTGAGAACTTATGAACAATGCAGAGAGAGAGAGAGAGAGAGAGAGAGAGAGAGAGAGAGAGAGAGAGAGAGAGAGAGAAGACCAGCAAGGTCTGGAGAGAATGATACAGTGGTAACCACATGATATGTTAGCCACTCACAGGAAAGGTAGTTTACCTGGCATTATCAGTAATGAAGTTCTGGGCTGGCTGCTCAAAGTGAATATGGACCAACTATAGGACCACAACGATGATTAGTGAATCAGTTCTAGGATATGCTACAACATGTAGGTTGAGAATAGAGCTGGAGGCAGTCACAGCAGCTTTCACTGGCTTGAGAACCAGATGTATACACACATGTCATGATTTTAACACTGACTAAGCATGCTGAGAAAGGTGGACAGAGTGGCTAGCATATCATCACAGATCTATGCCCCCCCCCCCCCCAATAACTGATGAAAAATTTAAAGAGTTTTCGTAAAGTGTATATTTGGAACCTACATACACCTCTTTATTATTCTGATACAGCCTGCAGAACATATGAGCATATCACCAAATCTGATGGTTAAAAGTTGGTTGATAAGATATTTCACAAAATCTGATGGTTAGAAGTTGGTTGATAAGATATTTCACCAAATCTGATTGTTAAAAGTTGGTTGATGAGATATTATCTTTAAGAAATATAGACTGTATTTAGTATAACAACAGCCATATTGGAATCTAATTTGTATAACATTTTCAGATTTCTCTACAGTTCATAATTTGCAACCCCCTAGAGTCCATCTAATGATTATAATTTTAAAATCAGTGAAAGTGCAAAAGGTCAAATTTTAGGGTTTAAGGGAGACAGGGAGGGGAGGGGGAGAGCAAGGACAGACACTTGAGTCATAGAAGTCAAACAGATTTTACAACTTTTATTAACCTCTCATAAGATGACAGACACAATGCTGATTGATATCAAACTGTAAGACATGTCTGTACACACGAGACCCAGGCTACCAACACTGACTGATGACTGTAAGACATGTCTGTACACACGAGACACCAGGCTACCAACACTGACTGATGACTGTAAGACATGTCTGTACACACGAGACACCAGGCTACCAACATGACTGATGACTGTAAGACATGTCTGTACACACGAGACACCAGGCTACCAACACTGACTGATGACTGTAAGACATGTCTGTACACACGAGACACCAGGCTACCAACACTGACTGATGACTGTAAGACATGTCTGTACACACGAGACACCAGGCTACCAACACTGACTGTTGACCATAAGACATGTCTGTACACACGAGACACCAGGCTACCAACACTGACTGATGACTGAGAACAGGAGCCATGAAATGTTACCAAACATACATTTATACGTTTGAGACGTGGACAGGATTGGAGTAGTCACTCACATACAAATAATACAGACATCATCATCTACACACAAATACAAATATGTGGTCTGTCAAACATACATACACACAAATGCAACACCTAAAATGAATTAACTATAATTTGCAGAAATTAACCCTGGAAAAAAAAAAGAATAAACAGAACAATTAAGAAAATATCTACATGACCTGGGCATTAGCTTTACAATTTAGAAGTGGGATTAAGGAACATAAACCTAAAAATGTCAGATTTAGCCTGCTAACATCTATCTTCACAGGAGTGGGGCTGGCCAAGCAGTAACACGATGGAGACCCAGGTTCAGGTCTTTAAAACTGGGAAGGCTAACCCTGGCAACAAATGCCTGCAGAAGTTGCATGTGTCAGCTGAAAGGTGCAAATATTGCAGCGATGTTGTAAACGGGTACAATACTTTCACACCTTAGGGTGATTGCAGCAGAAGAAATCTTTCAAAGGGTGATGAAAATACTTTCTGTCAGGTAAAAATAATCATCCTACATGCAGTTTGTGATGGCTGCACAAACCAGGGGACCCTAAACCCTGAGCCTCATGGCCCTCAGGCCCTAAACAAACTGTGTGCCACCTCCACACTTCTGGCTGCAGTGTGCCATCACTGTCTCTGCAAATATTATGTGAAGAGGATTCATGCTCTTCCAGAAAGCAACTCTTTAAACCACCAGCCAAAAGCCACGAGAATGGTCCAAGTTTTAAAAAAATAAACTCTGCCTATGGAAAGCAAATTAGAGCATGCAACAATTGTGAAACACATCCACTAACCTCTCAGCCATAGCCACATTACTCTGTCCGTAAGACGTGGTAAATATGGGCAATGAAGATATCTATCTCTACTTCTTTTCTTTTTTTTAATAAAAGAGATACAGAGTAAAATATCAAACTATCTCTTTTAAAACAGCCAGAATTGTCTCAACAACGAATGAAAAAAGATGTATAGCAGTGAAAAGTAATCTAATATAACAACAGGAAATCACAAAGCCATCACTCATCAGATTTGCAAACAGTTTCATCATGGGTAACAGCACACCAGCATCAATAATGACAAATTATTACCACTCAAAACATTATCCTTATATCAGATTTCCAGTCTACACAAAAATTTCAGCAAAAAATAAGGTCGTATTTGAAACTGTCTATGACACCCCCCCCCCCCTCCCAAACCCAATGCTACATGGTAAACATTTTGTTTTCGTTTAAAAAAAAAAAACAAATTTCAAACAAAACAAACTGTTAAAATTTCGGCTATTTTAAAATGAGGATGTGAAATGTTGAACCAGTGACAGTGTCTATTGTTTCAGGTCTGCACTACGATGTCTTTCAGATAATCAACCGAGCAAACATGCTGGCAACAAACATCACATCGCAAATCGCTGGGTCCAGTTCCGTGCAGTTTCATTGTACTTGGCAATATCTGACTTGTAGATGCGGGCAATCTCTGGTACAAGCGGATCATCAGGATTTGGGTCCGTTAAAAGAGAGCAGATGGACAAAAGGACTTTAGAAATTGTGAGGGCCGGAGACCACTGACCACGCAAAATGTCCAAACATATGCTCCCATTACTGTTGATGTTAGGGTGGTATATTTTTGTTGAGAAAGCCACTTTGGGTGGTTTGAAAGGGTAATCTGTGGGGAAGTGTATGTTGAGGTTGAAGCAGCCACCGGAGTATGGACTATCCTCTGGTCCTATGATAGTTGCCTGCCAGTGGAATATATCTTCCCCCACAGGTCCAGCGGAACAGTTGGTAGGAGGGTCTTTGTGAAGGTCCATCAACTCCTGGGGAAAGCAAACATAAACATGTGAGAAGCTCATAAGGGAAACTCATGTTTCAATGAAATTAAACATTATGCACCGTTGTGGGTTCTAGGGTGAGGCCCACAGAAAGAATCTCTTCAACAGATGCAAATCCTTTTTCAGCGTTAATCCCACCAGAATACCAGTGTGCTGGACTTAGTCTTCAAATCAGAACTTCCCTGGATGCTTAACCAATCATTTCTTCCAATGGCAAGCAGTATGTCATCTGTCAACAACTGTCAGTGTAGTTGTTCACCTTATATTCAATCACAGCATACTGAATGTGACACTCCTGGTAAGGTGACTGAGGTCACAGCGTTGAAAGTTAAGGCTGTTGTACTGTGTATAAGGGCAAGGGGGGGGGGGGGAACGGACATATGTCTACCTCACCTCGGATGCCAGCAGGCTCTACGCTAGCTTTATGGGTCTGTCTTGAAGCATCTACATATATGGTGCCATTGCTACAAAAGCCATCTAACACTGTGGAAGTCAGATTGCCCTGTCAATCAGATCAACAATATCTAGCAGGGAGAGACAGCAGCCAAGCAGATGGGGAAAGCCTGTCGATGAATGAAATGAATGGAACTGTTCACTGTATATCAGGAACGACAGACAGCCGTGAATGATAGATTTTAGTTAAAACCAGATAATACAGTTTAACATTGTCATTAGCACCTGAATTGATATGTACAAGACAGATTGTCAGGATGATTGACGACAGCAACCATGCTGACAAGTGAGGAACCAACAATATAACATTTGTGTGCGAATTCTAAGCGTCTTCATGATGTCGTTGAAATTAACATTTGCAGCTGGTATTACACTGCAGCTAGACAAGGTGAGCCACTGCAATTTTGCAGATGTGTATGCAAACTGCTGGTTCTGCAGTTAACTTACCTTTTATGTCAAGCATCTAGTGGATAGTGTGTCTCTTAATATTGCGCCTAAAATGGGGCCCAGGAAGCCACATGTGAAGCTAAAGGAGATGAAAGGGTTTAAATCTTGGCACAGTTATAATATGGGGCAATGGTGATTCATGTAACAGACTGGGCTATGTTGGTTTTAGTAATGTGAAGCTAAAGGAGATGAAAGGGTTTAAATCTTGGCACAGTTATAATATGGGGCAATGGTGATTCATGTAACAGACTGGGCTATGTTGGTTTGAGAAGAAAGTTTATTTGTGTTATTATATTAACAAGTACTTTAGTTATATAATATATAAAATATGATTAACTGCTTTACGCAATGGCTGAAACCATTTTTACTTTAAACATTGCACACCACTTAAGGCAATCTCTCATTGAGCAATTTCTGTATTGAAGAACAAAATGTTTATTATCAGCAATTTTTCTTGCTTGAATCTGTATCTGGATAAGAAGAATTTCTAATAAGAACCTTTTTCTTGGATTCCTGGTGAATTCTCCTGGTTACATATGCACTGTATACCATATAAAAGAACACTGACTTGAGCTACATACATAAAAGCATGTTGACTTTGATAAATACATGCAAGAATATTTACCTTGGAGATTCTTTTCATAGCCATACTATTTGGTGTAACCGTGTTTGAGTCGAGCTGGGCCTGCAGAACAAACAAACACAAGTAGCTGCAGAAAACAGTAGAGCATGACTTCACTGCCAGACTATTTATACACACACATCATTGTACACCACTGTCACTAAGTCCAATGGGTTGCCTGTGTGGCTGCTGGGCTCCATTTCTGGGACACAAGAATAGACTCACAGGGCCCCTAACAAGCATGTCATAAAAGGAAACTAACTAGGGGTGTTTCCTTTAAAGCCAGAGAGCATCTGCTCGAGAGGTGAGGAACCAACAGTCTGCATACAGCCAGATTTGTAAAACAGATGTACATGCAAACTGAGTTCTAGAACAAGTCCAGAAGTGGAGGACAACCACAATTTTTCCACCAGTGTTTACACCAGACTTGCTCAGCAGACCAAGAAGGCAGATCTGGGATAGCCCATTCAACCACCATTTACCACCAGTGTTTACACCAGACCTGCTCAGCAGACCAAGAAGGCAGATCTGGGATAGCCCATTCAACCACCATTTACCACCAGTGTTTACACCAGACCTGCTCAGCAGACCAAGAAGACAGATCTGGGATAGCCTGTTCAACCACCATTTTTCCACCAGTGTTTACACCAGACCTGCTCAGCAGACCAAGAAGGCAGATCTGGGATAGCCTGTTCAACCACCATTTTTCCACCAGTGTTTACACCAGACCTGCTCAGCAGACCAAGAAGGCAGATCTGGGATAGCCCATTCAACCTCCACAGAAGTAATAACTAGGGCACTGGTAAGGGCTACACCAGCATGCCACTGCTGCAGGTAAGGACTTTGTGTTGTCTCAACACACTCCAGTTTTATTTTGTCTTTCTCAAGGCATGCGCACTGTCTTCTTCTGATGTAAGCAAACCAGCTCTCTGTGAGTGGTCACTCTCAAGGCATGCGCACTGTCTTCTTCTGATGTAAGCAAACCAACAGCTCTCTGTGAGTGGTCTCTCTCTCAAGGCATGCGCACTGTCTTCTTCTGATGTAAGCAAACCAGCTCTCTGTGAGTGGTCACTCTCAAGGCATGCGCACTGTCTTCTTCTGATGTAAGCAAACCAGCTCTCTGTGAGTGGTCTCTCTCAAGGCATGCACACTGTCTTCTTCTGATGTAAGCAAACCAGCTCTCTGTGAGTGGTCACTCTCAAGGCATGCGCACTGTCTTCTTCTGATGTAAGCAAACCAGCTCTCTGTGAGTGGTCTCTCTCAAGGCATGCGCACTGTCTTCTTCTGATGTAGGCAAACCAGCTCTCTGTGAGTGGTCTCTCTCTCAAGGCATGCGCACTGTCTTCTTCTGATGTAGGCAAACCAGCTCTCTGTGAGTGGTCTCTCTCTCAAGGCATGCGCACTGTCTTCTTCTGATGTAGGCAAACCAGCTCTCTGTGAGTGGTCACTCTCAAGGCAACTTTGCTCCCAACTGCATAAACAGAAAAAAAATATGATGACGGAAAAGACCTGAAGAAATCTCACTATTCTTATACTGCTTCAGGTTTTAAAGTAGATACAATGTTCCACTTCTTGCTCTTTTGGTTGATTCAGGTAGCAAGGGAGATATAATGTTCCGCTTCTTGCTCTTTTGGTTGATTTAGGTAGCAAGGGAGATATAATGTTCCGCTTCTTACTCTTTTGGTTGATTCAGGTAGCAAGGGAGATATAATGTTCCGCTTCTTGCTCTTTTGGTTGATTCAGGTCAGAAGGGAGATATAATGTTCCGCTTCTTGCTCTTTTGGTTGATTAAGGTAGCAAGGGAGATATAATCTTCCGCTTCTTGCTCTTTTGGTTGATTCAGGTAGCAAGGGAGATATAATGTTCTGCTTCTTGCTCTTTTGGTTGATTCAGGTAGCTAGGGAGATATAATGTTCTGCTTCTTTCGTTGTTTCAGGTAGCAAGGGAGATTTAATGTTCCGCTTCTTGCTCTTTTGGTTGATTCAGGTAGCAAGGGAGATATAATGTTCCGCTTCTTGCTCTTTTGTTTGATTCAGGTAGCAAGGGAGATATAATGTTCTGCGTCTTGCTCTTTTGGTTGATTCAGGTAGCAAGGGAGATATAATGTTCCGCTTCTTGCTCTTTTGGTTGATTCAGGTAGCAAGGGAGATATAATGTTCCGCGTCTTGCTCTTTTGGTTGATTCAGGTAGCTAGGGAGATATAATGTTCTGCTTCTTTCGTTGTTTCAGGTAGCAAGGGAGATTTAATGTTCCGCTTCTTGCTCTTTTGGTTGATTCAGGTAGCAAGGGAGATATAATGTTCCGCTTCTTGCTCTTTTGTTTGATTCAGGTAGCAAGGGAGATATAATGTTCTGCGTCTTGCTCTTTTGGTTGATTCAGGTAGCAAGGGAGATATAATGTTCCGCTTCTTGCTCTTTTGGTTGATTCAGGTAGCAAGGGAGATATAATGTTCCGCGTCTTGCTCTTTTGGTTGACTCAGGTAGCAAGGGAGATATAATGTTCCGCTTCTTGCTCTTTTGGTTGATTCAGGTAGCAAGGGAGATATAATGATCTGCTTCTTGTTCTTTTGGTTGACTCAGGTAGCAAGGGAGATATAATGTTCTGCGTCTTGCTCTTTTGTTTGATTCAGGTAGCAAGGGAGATATAATGTTCTGCGTCTTGCTCTTTTGGTTGATTCAGTTAGTTAGTTAGTTAGTTGGGTTATCCTCATTGCACTCCGGACATGTCCATAGGTGCTCAGATCCTCCCCTCAGTATGAACCCCAACGTCCGATGGCTAATAGTACCAGTTCTATGTTGATTAACAAGTCTTCTGGCGTGTCTGGTGTGCGTCTCGTTTTTTGCTGTGCCGATCTTAATTCCCAAGTCTGCCATTCTGGCGAGTGATGTGGATTCACTGCCACCAAAGTCCTCTATCCTTCCCATTTCTCTGAGGGCATTAATAATATCAGCATGATCCATAGGCTGACCGTCGGTAGTGATAGCGGATCCAGCCAACCTGTCAGCTCTTTCATTTCCATCGACGCCTGCGTGTCCCGGAACAAAAATAATGGTGACTCCACGCACAGTGGACTTCTGTAATGATTCAAGCCATTGTCTTCGCACTGAACCTGCCTGAACCCTCCGGATCATACTCATTGAATCACTGAGTATACACACGCGGGTGTATTTTTGTGTTTCAAGCCAGCGCTTGCGTCACTGCCATCACCTCCATCGTCATGCTGCTGGTTGTCATGGAGAAGGCGCCGTTGGCTTCTTTGACTGTTCTGCCCGCTGAGCGTGCTGTAAATGCCCATGCGCTTCTTCTTTGGAGTATAACGGATCAGTCTGTATAGATTATTGCATCTGCTTCGTCCGAATTTTCACCGATGAGAGCGTTGACCTCTGCATTAACAGCAACAGGATTCTCTTCTCTACATCGCCTGTTGAGTGTGACAATACAGGAAAATGTACAAATAAACGCCTGAGGCACAGGTATCCATTCTGCACCAGGTATGATGTCGGTTAGGCTGCATATTTGTCTAATAACATCTTCTGCCCGACCTAGCCACGATTTCCCCCTCTTCAGTCTGTTGCCCTTTTCACTAAAAAGCGCTTGATGCAGTGGGTGTTTCTTATCAGCACATATTTTGAGATATGCCCGAGCCCTCCACATCCTGATCCTTTGGTTCATTGTTGGAAAGTCAAGTAGATACCTCATTGCTCCACAGGATGTGTCTCTAGTATATCCCAAAATAATGCGCATGGCTTCATTTTGCACCTTTTCGAGTCGTTCAATCTGGGTAGCACTGACAGTGAGGATGGCAAGGGCGTATTCAATGGGGGAAAGGACCAGAACGTAGAATAGAAGTATTAGTAGTCTTTGCTCAATATTGGAAGCAGCCATAATCCTCATTGCAGATAGACCTTTGCGTGCTTTTGTTATCACATGGTCAACGTGTTCCCTGAATGACAAGCTGCGATCGAACCTCACCCCGAGAAACGTCATAACGTTGGTTCTGATCAATACATTATCACGCATTTTCACTTCTGGTAAGTCCGACTTGACAATGTGATTGTTCAAAGAGAACCATGACACTGATGCCTTCGAAGGATTGACATAGGCATTGGAACCATCACACCAGGTGGCAATTCGATCGAGTTCTTTGTGCATAGTGCTGGCGATTGGTTGATTCAGGTAGCAAGGGAGATATAATGTTCTGCTTCTTTGGTTGATTCAGGTAGCAAGGGAGATATAATGTTCCGCTTCTTGCTCTTTTGGTTGATTCAGGTAGCAAGGGAGATATAATGTTCCGCTTCTTGCTCTTTTGGTTGATTCAGGTAGCAAGGGAGATATAATGTTCTGCTTCTTGCTCTTTTGGTTGATTCAGGTAGCAAGGGAGATATAATGTTCCGCTTCTTGCTCTTTTGGTTGATTCAGGTAGCAAGGGAGATATAATGTTCCACTTCTTGCTCTTTTGGTTGATTCAGGTAGCAAGGGAGATATAATGTTCTGCTTCTTTGGTTGATTCAGGTAGCAAGGGAGATATAATGTTCTGCTTCTTGGTCTGCTAATTATTTTTTTTTATTATGTACACCTCACTGCTGTCGGTGCATGAACATAACTGTGTCACATGACTGAATGGGGTTTCTAGAAAGTGTACCTGGGGGATTCTCATCTTAATAGTGGCACAATGCGTCAACAGAGGTTAATCGCTTAGTTCTACTTCACTCAGGGACTCTTTTGGTCACTTCAAGTGTTGAAGGGGATTTAAGGTTCTGCTTCTTTCACTTCTGGTCACTAAGACTGTCGAAAGGGATTTGAGGTTCTGCTTCTTTTACTCCTGGTCACTAAGACTGTCGAAGGGGATTTGAGGTTCTGCTTCTTTCACTTCTGGTCACTAAGGCTGTCGAATGAGATTTAAGGTTCTGCTTCTTTCACTTCTGGTCACCAAGGCTATCGAGGAAGAATTGACGTTTGTTTTCTTGCTCCTCTGTTTTCCTCAGCCATAGACACATCACACTGTTGTCCAGTGTCTCTATGCTCTTTCCATCTTATTCTTAGTCTACCTTGTACTACACGCCCATCTCTTCTTTTGGCGTATGATTTGTATGTTATGGTATCACAATATATTCTCTTTGAGTGGGCAAACAATTTCATTTGCTGACTTTGTATGAATAGTATTGGTTATGCGCCAACTTTTTTCTCTTCTGGTCACTCCTGCAGTCTTTCTGGGACATCTCATTTCCTTTGTTTCTAATTTTACTTCAGTAATACTGATTTACAGGTTAGACCTAATGATCGGAAACTTCTGGGAAAGTGGCCAATGTGGAAATAGAAGATACAGACATGGAGACAATAAAAGCCAAGTAGCAGAATTTGGCCACATTTGAAGGCAACCTGTGAGAAAAATTGCTGGTATATAATCTGATGTAAAAAGTGCAGATGATCTATTCCATGCCAATAGACATTTGATGAGCACATTCATTGATGCCGATTCCAGTGTTAACAGCCCCAACAATATTCATAAATATTGTAAACCGGCTCTCCTCCGAACTTCTACCCCAGCCAAACAAATACCCTAACAGGGCCTTAGTCGTGTGTAAAATGCGGACTTCCAGCAACGAACACATCGCTGCAAAACTACGTTTATTTGATAATTTCAAGAGACACAACACTGCAGATGTTGACAGTTTCGAGCGTTTCTGCAGACGATACTAGCAGACAATACTAGCGACCACTGACAATTTCAAGACACGCAACACTACAGACAGTAATATGGAGATGGCGGGGAGATTAGCGACAGTGTTCTTTCAATTAAACTCACAGCTGAGCGTATCCCCGCGCCGCTAGGCGCAGCGCAGATGGGGATCTAAACTAGATGACTGGGACTCACAAGCAATTAAATTGGAGGAAGTTGCAGGAGATGTGGTAGCTGCTGCTCCTGAGTCCCAGCCATCTAGTTTAGCCCCCCCCCCCATCCACGCGTATAGGGGGATACTGTTAGCGGTGCGGCATAGTCGCAGAAACAGGTCCGCAATTAACAAATCGCTAAGGCCCTGTTAGAGCATTTGTTTCGTAATTCGGAGCCGATTATAGTTTTGCTGTGCTTTGTTCCTCGGCAGAAGTCCGACATGTCCGCATTTTCCATAGGACTGAGGCCATGTTAGGGTATTTGTTTGGCCGCCATAATGCTGAGGTAGAAGTTGGGAGGAGAGCCTTGTAAACCTTATAGTTGCTAACTACTAGTCCATTATTACAAACAGTAACTGGACTCTCGTCAACACTGCCCAACAAGTGGTAAAACAGACAGAAGTGAGTTGTTGACAGTAACTAACATGCCAGTTGTAAATAACTACTACCACCACAAACAGAAATCCTACTAGCTGTGGCTAACTATATCATCTGTTCACATTTGCAATAAACATTTTCAAACACCATGACAATAACAACCACTGGGCCATGTGATCAACATGATCTGCAAGTAGTAACTAGAAATGATAATTGTAGTCGCAGCAGACTTGCTAATAAATCAGTGTTACTAACAATCACTGATACTAAATTATAATGGTAACCATTGTGGTTGCTATACTAAGTAGAATTATTACCACAACAGCCAACTACTACATCTAGTCTAGCACCTCCAGTTTACTTACTATAGAAGATATAGACTAACAACTAATACATCATCAGTAAACATATGACACTGGTGACTCATTCAACTGAGTTTCACAGGCAAATGCCAGCTGTATGACTGTATGAATACCAACACAATCTACACAACACAGAGTGACTGACACACCCACACACCAATATTTAAAATAAACAAGAAGTCATCAGTGGCCGGTCTTGTACAGTCTGATGGTTAACCCACTAGACAAAGAAAATGGACCAGATTACGTAAAGATCCAAACAAGCTACTGAGCGTTATCTGTGAACCAACAGCTAACTGTAACTTGACAAGATAGTTAGATAACGACGGATCAGGCACACTTGTTCAAATTTACGTTTGGATGTTTGAACCCCGGCTAGAAACTAGGCGACCTACAGAAACTTGAGGCCCCGAACTAAATCGTACGTAATATACATTTAAAATACGTGTGTAATTAAATACATGTATGTCCACAGGCCGTATTCAACCAGTTGTTAACCGTCTCGTAGATACACTAGTCGTGAAAGTTAGAGGGATGAAAGGTAAAGTAATAATTGTTTCCATGCAATGACCAGTGAACATTTTCAAGCATTTCCTTTCTGCTTCAGCTTGTGACTCCCCGACCCCAACAATCAACATGGCAGCAGCGAGAAACCTCAGCGGAAAAGTGGCTCTCATTACAGGTATTTGCCGTCTAGGTGTTCTAACATATCTTACTTTATAACAATAAAAGCTTGTTTGCCGTGAGCAGGTGTGGAAGTGGCTACAAACGGCTGGATCGACTCCAGAAGTGGGCACACAACGAATGGCCGACCAGCAGAAGAGGAAACTGTCTCGTTTTGGCAATGGCTATTTTTAACGTGGGTTCCGGTCGTTGTCCGTTTGTGGGCGTTCGTTTTGGTTCTTCTCCACCTACTACCACCGCTCTTTTATTATTTTCTTTCTTGTTGGTCGCATACACCCGCTTGCTTTGTTTTTGTTGATCTGTAAGACATTTGTATGAATCGCAAAGGTTCTGAATCTGTCCTGTACGAGCCTACACGAAATGTTACCTGCAGAAGATGAAACCTGCTCCCTGTCTTATCCGCCCCCCGTTGGACTTTGAACATTCAGGTATAGGAGTGAGACATGTTAGTAACTAAACGGTTGCTTTCATTCACGCTGCGTTATTTTACCGACCATTGTTAAACTGTTCTTTAAACATTTATATACAATGGCCAATGCACTTGTCACATTATTGACACAGTTAACGTCATCAATCTTGGAAAGTTTTAGTTGCTTTTTAAGTTAACTTGAAGCGTCCTTTACTTTGTTTTTAAGAGACGGTTCAATAAACAAAATAAGCCACACACAAAGGGGCGGGGGGGGGGGGGGGGGGGGGGGGGGGGTTCACGTTTCGACTAGTCTTTGTCAATGGACACTTTGGTAAATACAGATTTGAAAGCACAGATGTCTATCCACACCTCACTTGAGTCAAGAACTGTAACATCACTGCACTCAGGGCATTTCCACATGTGCTCCATGCCCATCTTCAGCAGCCAGTGCAGAGTTCAAATATTAATGGTGCTGGTCACAGTCTGTTCGTATGTTTGTCTTGCCTTTCCTCTGAGCGTAGTGTGCCGACCGAACCATCTGGTCACAAACAGGTGCATCATTCTCTCCAGCCCATAATAATCTAGTTTCAATTCTGATTTTTTTACTTGTTCCCAAAGGGTTCTGACCACATCTGCCTTGTCATATATCAATTCACCACCCAGTGGTGCAGATCCAGCCAAACTGTCTGCCTGTTCATGCTAGATATCGTGGTATCATATGCCAGGCTGTCCTGCACTCAAGATTTTCCATTGGTTAAACTTAAACACAGGTGTAAATAATGGCTATAACCCTAACATATCTTTCTTTCACATTTGCCACAGCATCAGATTTTGAACGGTTACCTAGCAGCTAACAGGTTTCGTTTTTACAGTATTATCTTTATTGCACACAGGTGTCTCTCTCAGTGCTCTATTCTCTTGCTGTTCCAGTTTGTTCCCGTAGATCACATAAAATACTCTCAGCACAGATGATGATCCAGATGTGTGTAAACCAGCCCAGACATGCTGTCAATATCTGTTTGTGGGGAGTTTTCCATATTTTGAAATTTCATGGGAAAGGGAAAGGGGGGGGGGGGGGGGGGGGGGGGGGGATGGACATAGATATATTTTAAATCCAAGAAAAAAGGTAAACTTTGATACCTACACTGCAAAGGTCAGAGCTCTTAAAGATATCCAGTCACACAACAGTATGTTAAAGATGTGACTAGAGACTATTCCCTGTAACATTAAACAGACAATAAAACAAGTTCTTGCTCTTGTTTCACATTCCAGGAGCCAGTTCTGGTATTGGTGCTGCAACTGCTGTCTTGTTCTCCAAGCTGGGAGCTTCTCTGGTCTTGACTGGACGAAAACTTGACAACTTATCAGCGGTGGGAGCTGAATGTGAGAAGAACTCACAAGAGAAAGTATATTACTGTTTTTCTTCATTGTATATTTCAAATAAACTGTGGACTATTATGAAAAGTATGGGGTTTCCAGTGCATTTAGTGCATTTAATTGAAAATCTCTATCATGAACAACAAGCAGCCATCAGAGCAGCTGGTGAAACATCTGACTGGTTCCAGGTGCAAAAGGGGGTGAGGCAGGGGTGCATTCTCTCACCATACCTATTCAATATATACGCAGAAAATATAATGAGAAATGTCAACAATGACCAGACTTGTGACAGTTATGATCTGCTCAAAATTGGTGGCAACCCTATTCCGGAACTCCGCTACGCAGATGACACAGTCCTCCTTTCGAACAGCATAAAGGAAATCGAAAATTTAATATTGTCTGTCCAAACGCAAAGTGAAGATCAAAATCTGTTCTTGAATTTTAAGAAAACGAAAATAATGTCCACAGATAAAACTGGCTGTCACCCAAAAATAACAATAAATGATGAAGAAATTGAAAATGTCGCAAACTTTGAATATCTAGGCTCTATAATAAATAGCAATGGAGACTGTTTGCCAGAAATTAAAAGGAGGATGGCCATAGCAATGCAAAGATTGAACAGCCTTAAAAGTCTATGGTTAAGCACTAGCAAGGAGATAAAAATTAGAATTTTGAGAGCATGCATCTTCCCTGTGGCTACCTACAGATGTGAGTCGTGGACTATCTCTCAGTACTTAAGAAAGAGAATAGGGGCTTTTGAGCTGAAGTGCTGTATAAAGATTCTCAGAATATCTTGGACAAAGAAGAGGAGAAATATTGAAATCTTAAAAGATCTGAACATCAAGGAAGATTGGCTAATAAACAGCATCCTTTCTCGGAAGCTGAAATATTTTGGTCATATCAAGCGCCACAACAGATTGGAAAAAACTGTAGCAGAAGGCATGGTACCAGGAAGGAGGGGCAGGGGCCGACCGTCATGAAGATGGGTACAGGATATAAGTGAGTCCTTGAGTATGAAAGTACATAAGGCAGGAGAATTGGCGAGAGACCGAGTTTCTGTCAGGCAGACTGTGATGAGAGCAATGTTCTCCAAAAGACCTGCTACATGATGATGATGATATTTCAAATAAAAAAGGATTATAATAGACATTACTTCATTTCCTTGAGTGTATCATACATCATTGGCTTGTGTGTATCATGCATCATTTCCTTGTGTGTATCATGCACCATTTCCTTGTGTGTATCATGCATTATTTCCTTGTGTGTATCATGCACCATTTCCTTGTGGGTACCATGTATCATTTCCTTGTGTGTATCATGCACCATTTCCTTGTGTGTATCATGCATCATTTCCTTGTGTGTATCATGCACCATTTCCTTGTGTGTATCATGTATCATTTCCTTGTGTTTATCCCAGGGATCTTTTTTTGGCAGAAAAGAAGAATAGACCCATTGTCTTTGTAAAAGACAAAAATTAGGGATTGGCTGAAATCAGATGTATTAGGCAAAAAGGTGCAGATATCACAGCCCAGCTGTAAACCATAACACAACGTGCCAATTGCATTTCTAAAGGTGAATGCATAAGAAGATTAAGATATCAATTGACGTGAAGATATCAGTGGACGTGAAGATATCAGTGGACATAAGGATATCAGTGGACATGAAGATATCAGTGGACATGAAGATATCAGTGGACATGAAGATATCAGTGGACATAAGGATATCAGTGGACATGAAGATATCAGTGGACGTGAAGATATCAGTGGACGTGAAGATATCAGTGGACGTGAAGATATCAGTGGACATGAAGATATCAGTATACGTTTGTGATTAAAAGTATTGATAAATGCTTGTGAGTGAATGAATCAGATATTGACACTTAGAACATCCCCAAACATGTCACAAAGAATGCACTGATGATGATGCGGGCTGTGACCTGGGCAAAAGTCTGTTGGTGTTTTCTCTGTCATGTTGAATATTGTCCAAACACTTCACTGAGTCAGTCTCTCCATGTGTGGAGACTCTGTTCTCTTACACTGTCCGCTTGATCCCCAAGATCCCTCACCACGTTTGCTATATCGTAAAGTAACTCATCACACAGAAGAGCAGCTACAGCTAATCTGTCAGCCTGTTTATAACTCTCCACACCTGAATTTCCTGGAAAGAAAATCTAAACTGGTTTCCTGATTTGAATGTGTGAGTTAAGTGTATCAGTAAATGTTTACAGTAAGCTAAAATAAAATTTAAAAAATTAAAACTATCTGTAGCTGTCTATAGAATTTCTTTTTTCATAATCATGTTTTCCTTGGCAGCCTCTTCTGCTGATTGCTGACTTGGACAAGGAAGACGATGTGACTAACATTGTGACAGACACTATCAAACGTTATGGAAGACTTAACATTTTGGTGAGTACATTAGTTTGTTTGCTAGTACTGCCGCCCACCACTGCCTTCTTCTTTTTTATCTTGTTCTTCTTGTGCTACTCCTTCTTCACTTTCTCTTTCCACAGCTTTAAAGTCTGCTTTTTCAGGATTCTTGTTGTTGGCCTGTTTCAAGACAACTTTTACATCTGAGATTAAATGAGTGCTTGAGTACTTCTTTGATATTACCTGGGTGTTTAAGTACTTCTTTAGGATAAAATGAGTGAGTACTTCTCACAGCAAGTTGCCTGCTCATATTTGTGATCTCTCGTGCTCACAACCACTGTTGTGATCAATTGATAGATCCCAATTTTACAAGGTTCTCATCATCATCATGCACAGTGCTGACAGTTGTTGACAGCCATGATTCACCATCTGACATCATCACCACACTCATGTCAGGTCTGATTGTTGCCCCAGTTATGCATTTGTGACCCCTAAGCCAGAGACACCAGCAGCTCTTTATAACATGCTTGAAATACATTGTTTGTCTAATTTCTTTATCATTTAGGTTTTCATCTGATTCTCTGACTTCTTTTTTTTCTGTCCATCTATAGTATTGATTGCACTTTCTACATAAACCACTTTCCCACAGCCATTATTGGTTTCTCTACTTGTGTGTTTATTTGTCCATCTATATTATTGATTGCACTTTCTACAGAAACCACACTCCCACGCCATTATTGCTTTCTCTACTTGTGTGTTTATTTGTCCATCTATATTATTGATTGCACTTTCTACAGAAACCACACTGCAACGCCATTATTGGTTTCTCTACTTGTGTGTTTATTTGTCCATCTATATTATTGATTGCACTTTCTACAGAAACCACACTGCCACGCCATTATTGGTTTCTCTACTTGTGTGTTTATTTGTCCATCTATATTATTGATTGCACTTTCTACAGAAACCACACTGCCACGCCATTATTGCTTTCTCTACTTGTGTGTTTATCTGTCCATCTATATTATTGATTGCACTTTCTACAGAAACCACACTGCCACGCCATTATTGGTTTCTCTACTTGTGTGTTTATTTGTCCATCTATATTATTGATTGCACTTTCTACAGAAACCACATTCCTACAGCCATTATTGCTTTCTCTACTTGTGTGTTTATTTGTCCATCTATATTATTGATTGCACTTTCTACAGAAACCACACTGCCACGCTATTATTGGTTTCTCTACTTGTGTGTTTATTTGTCCATCTATATTATTGATTGCACTTTCTACAGAAACCACACTCCCACGCCATTATTGCTTTCTCTACTTGTGTGTTTATTTGTCCATCTATATTATTGATTGCACTTTCTACAGAAACCACATTCCTACAGCCATTATTGGTTTCTCTACTTGTGTGTTTATTTGTCCATCTATATTATTGATTGCACTTTCTACAGAAACCACATTCCTACAGCCATTATTGCTTTCTCTACTTGTGTGTTTATTTGTCCATCTATATTATTGATTGCACTTTCTACAGAAACCACACTGCCACGCCATTATTGGTTTCTCTACTTGTGTGTTTATTTGTCCATCTATATTATTGATTGCACTTTCTACAGAAACCACACTCCCACGCCATTATTGCTTTCTCTACTTGTGTGTTTATTTGTCCATCTATATTATTGATTGCACTTTCTACAGAAACCACATTCCTACAGCCATTATTGGTTTCTCTACTCGTGTGTTTATTTGTCCATGTTTAATAGCACAGATTCATTAGAGCACTATTCTTCTTCTTCTTTCGTTCGCATGAAATAAATTGTCTATATCTGCAAAGCCGTCTCTTGTATGAATTTCACTGTCTTTTGTAATTCACTAAGCGGCCCGTAAAGTTTGACTTCCACAAGTGTCTCTTTTGGCCAAATGTTTTGCCTGAAAGCGTTGAATATGGGACAGTCTTGAAGGATGTGATCTGTTGTTTCAGGTGCCAGTCCACAAGTACACATGGCCGATTGGCCAATCTTAAATTTGTTGTACATGTGGGAGCGAAGTCTATTGTGCCCTGTTCTAAGGCGAAGGATAATAACTTGCTCTGGTCTGTCCATAATATGGTAATCATCTTGTGCCAGTTTCGGTGGCATTCTGATTGATTTGATCATTCTCTTCTTCTGTTGATAAGAGACTGGTATGTCAGGTTGTTCTTCAGTTGCACCTTCCTTAGCTAGTTTATCAGCTTTTCCGTTTCCGGGAACTCCACAGTCGGAAGGTATCCACTGCATTACTAATTTACAGCGGTTGCCTAGTTCGGATAATAGTGTCCGTATGCTTGGTAATTTTCCAGACTGGATTAGAGCACTATGACATTCCTTGTTCTTACTGCAATTAACATCTTTCATTGGTAATTGTTTTCCTTCCTGCAAAATGCTACTTTTGCCATGGAGATTCTTGTTCTCACCTCTCCAATGCATCACATGGATACACCACATATAAAATGTTTAACATTGCAGGGGATTCCTGGTCACTGTGATCACAAGAGAAATGAGATGTGGGACAGACCTTATAATATGAACATAGATTATTCTCAAGTTCCATCTAGGACTGACACCATATAGCCAGTATGCCTTAAAGCATAGAAAATAGTTATTTATTCTCATAGCATTAAAAATAGTCATTTATTATCAAAGCATTAAAAAAATATAATTTATTCTCAGAGCATAGAAAATGTCATTTATTCTGAAAGTATAAAAATATCATTTATTTTCAAAGCATTAAAAATATAGTTTATTCTCAGAGCTTAGAAAATATCATTTATTCTCAAAGTATAAAAATATCATTTATTTTCAAAGCATTAAAAATATAATGTATTCTCAGAGCATGTAAAGTGGTCATTGGTTTTGCTTACCTAGAGTTTCTGGACAGATCTCTTGCTGTATGGTGTGCTTCAATAGTTAGCTTATTCTTTGTCTTGGTTGTCTGTGTCATTGGTTTTGCTTACCTAGAGTTTCTGGACAGATCTCTTGCTGTATGGTGTGCTTCAATAGTTAGCTTATTCTTTGTCTTGGTTGTCTGTGTCATTGGTTTTGCTTACCTAGAGTTTCTGGACAGATCTCTTGCTGTATGGTGTGCTTCAATAGTTAGCTTATTCTTTGTCTTGGTTGTCTGTGTCATTGGTTTTGCTTACCTAGAGTTTCTGGACAGATCTCTTGCTGTATGGTGTGCTTCAATAGTTAGCTTATTCTTTGTCTTGGTTGTCTGTGTCATTGGTTTTGCTTACCTAGAGTTTCTGGACAGATCTCTTGCTGTATGGTGTGCTTCAATAGTTAGCTTATTCTTGGCCTTGGTTGTCTGTGTCATTGGTGCTCTTGTTGTAATAAATCTGTGACCCAAGTGGGGTTAACTCAATCCTTCTCTCATAACAATCCTATAGCCCACAGCTGAGGTATGATTTTTCTCTCCGTGTGGGTTCTGGGACCCTATTTTGGGTCATACAACAATAGACCCACTGCCCTCATAATAAGCTTGTCGTAGAAGGTGACTATTTGGGGATCCCTCCAAGCCAGAGCACATCTGCCTGATAAGCAAAGAACCAACAGTCTGCATACAAATAAGCTAGATGCGTAAAATGGGTCTGCATTGAAAACTCAAGTTCTGGAACAAGACCAAAGTCCAGAAGTGGATGAACAACCAGAACTTTCTGTCAGAGTTAACAGTGTAAAAAAAACATTAAGAATAAGTGTTATGATTTTATTTACCAATGTTGTGGATATAATTTCTTTGCCAATCTTGACAGGTGAACAATGCCGGAATTTTGGAGTCTGGAAGTATTGAAAACACTTCATTGGAACAGTATGATCGTCTCTTCAGAACGAACGTCAGGTAGGACAACAAGTTTTCACTGGCATTTAGTTAATAAAATATTTTATTGTGCAGGACATTCTTATTGACATAGCTCACAGAGAGAGTAGACAATTAGGTACCCAGTGTCTGTTGGAGTGTGTACAAATAGCCTGTAAGTTACTGGTCATATGTGTGCTTGCTGTACGATTCCTAATGAGAGGAAAGTTTTTAAAGACATTTTTGTTCTCAAAATTGTGGAAGAAGTGAAATTAAATCTGAAACCAAATGTAATATTGCAGAATTTTGACACTTGTGGCTTGTTGAGTAATAATAACTTGAATGCTGTGATTAGATGAATAAATGAAAATTATATTGTTTTACTGTCATTGAGTAAACACAAATGGAATGTTGTAACTATATCTCAGATCCATATATCAACTGACCATGCTGTTGACACCCTACCTGGTTGAGGCCAAAGGAAACATTGTCAATGTGTCCAGCGTCAATGGCATCCGCTCGGTAAGTTGAGTTCTGTATTTAAATACCACTGTCATAGCATTCAAATTTGTTGTCTTCTTTCTGTATTTCTGACCTCATAACTTTTTGTCTCTGTGTATCTGCATTTAGTTTTGTCTCAATAGAGCTGACTTTACAGCTGTTCTTACTTAGGCGAAAATGATCACCGCAAGGAAACAAACAAAAATCAGACAGCAAAAAAACCGTCCTCAATAAAGCAGGCCTCCAGGCAGCTGAAAGAGGACCATATTTGACATTTTTTGTTTCCTTTATCCAGTTTCCATTCAACTATGTAGTGATCAGCATGTGTGAATGAGCAGGTTGGGTAGAAGATAAACAAATGGAACAGGTTATGATATTAGTTTAGATCTGCTTGGATTATTTAACTAACTGTTGGAGATAGTAACAAGAATCTTCCTTTTTTTTTTAAAGAACATTGAATGTGTCTGTAAAGTCACAATTTTGTATGTAAAAAAAAATCCAACCCTGCTGGAAATGAGAGTAAGTGCAGTGGGGAAAGAAACTGGCACCTTATATCATCAAGCTACAAGCTACTGTGTGAAATGATTAGCCTGTCAGACTTTCATGAGAGATTATGTCATGTGATAACTGTTGCCTTGATGTTTCCACCAGTTTCCTGGAGTCTTGGCCTACAATATGAGCAAGGCTACTGTGGACCAATTCACCAGATGTGTGGCACTCGGTATGTGCTTTGTCCCCCCCCCCCCCCTCTCTCTCTCAATGTCTTCATCATCACTGTCTTCTCCTCTCATTCTGTCCTCACCCTCTCACTCTCCTTTGTCACTCTTTCTGTATATTCAGACTTGAAATAGCACATGCGTAGTTCTTGATGAATATACTTAGGCTTCCCCCCCCCCCCCCCCCCCCATAAATCTCTCGTTAATACTTCCAGCCAAAATTGAGGAAAGGCTTGGCAGATTGTTTAGCTTTGCTAATGCAGTTTCCATGTAAGGATGGTAGTTAATGGTTTTGCTGCGCGAACTTCTGAGTTTAGTGGTTGATTGCAGCCCTGTGAGCTGTGTTTTTCCGGTGGAATGCCTATCATTTGTGCAGCAACTGTGTCGTGGTATTCAGTATGGCCGGTAGCTGATTTACGTGTGAGCTAGTGAAATCCCTTATGTAATAATTCTACATGTGTATAGTAACCAGCTTATCGTGCCCGTTTACTCCCATCAACGACAAACTACATTTCTGGTGGTGATTGTTGGCTTTGGCACCTCCAGCAACTGGAATATGCATTTAATGTGTGTGCAGATTTCTGGATTGTGCCGGGACTAGTTGTTTGTTCACCAGTTTTTCAATTGCAACAATCAGGGACATTTCATTTGATTCGTACTGGCACAGGAATGGAGCAAGTATGAGGAAACTAGATTGCAATGATGTTGAAACCTCGACTAAGAATAAGACTCTAATACACACACACTCTTACAAGCTTGTGTTTGATATGATACAATTCTCTCTCCCACTCTGTTCTTCCCTCACTCCTCTCTGTCACTGTTTGTTATTATTTTTGTTCCTTCTCTGTCCACTTGTTACTCTTTTTAAATTTTGTAAGAGAATGAATATGTATGACTGAGTGAATGCATGAAAGATACAAAAAATGTTTATTGTTTTCTGTCTCATTTCAGAACTTGCACCTAAACAAGTGAGATGTAACTCTGTCAAGTGAGTAATTAAATTACAGTTACTTCATTGTTAAAGTATTTGTTTATGTGTCTAGTCTTTTAAGAAGACTACAAACTGAGACAATAAGAAACGAGTCTGGATGTACAGAGAAAAGACTAGACACATAAACAAATACTTTAACTTTTTGTCTCTGTATGTCTGCATGTAGTCTTGTCTCATTAGAGCTGACCTCATAACTTATTATCTCTGTGTGTCTGCACGTAGTCTTGTCTAGATAGAGCTGACCTCATAACTTGTTGTCTCTGTATGTCTGCATATAGTCTTATCTCGATAGAGCTGACCTCATAACTTTTTGTCTCTGTGTGTCTGCATGTAATCTTTTCTTGATAGAGCTGACCTCAACTTGTTGTCTCTGTATGTCTACATGTAGTCTTGTCTCATTAGAGCTGACCTCATAACTTATTGTCTCTGTGTGTCTGCATGTAGTCTTGTCTCGATAGAGCTGACCTCATAACTTGTTGTCTCTGTGTGTCTGCATGTAGTCTTGTCTAGATAGAGCTGACCTCATAACTTGTTGTCTCTGTATGTCTGCATGTAGTCTTGTCTAGATAGAGCTGACCTCATAACATGTTGTCTCTGTATGTCTGCACGTAGTCTTGTCTCGATAGAGCTGACCTCATAACTTATTGTCTCTGTGTGTCTGCATGTAGTCTTGTCTAGATAGAGCTGACCTCATAACTTGTTGTCTCTGTATGTCTGCATGTAGTCTTGTCTAGATAGAGCTGACCTCATAACTTGTTGTCTCTGTATGTCTGCATGTAGTCTTGTCTAGATAGAGCTGACCTCATAACTTGTTGTCTCTGTGTGTCTGCATGTAGTCTTGTCTAGATAGAGCTGACCTCATAACTTGTTGTCTCTGTATGTCTGCACGTAGTCTTGTCTCGATAGAGCTGACCTCATAACTTGTTGTCTCTGTGTGTCTGCATGTAGTCTTGTCTCGATAGAGCTGACCTCATAACTTGTTGTCTCTGTATGTCTGCATGTAGTCTTGTCTCGATAGAGCTGACCTCATAACTTGTTGTCTCTGTATGTCTGCATGTAGTCTTGTCTCGATAGAGCTGACCTCATAACTTGTTGTCTCTGTATGTCTGCATGTAGTCTTGTCTCGATAGAGCTGACCTCATAACTTATTGTCTCTGTATGTCTGCATGTAGTCTTGTCTCATTAGAGCTGACCTCATAACTTGTTGTCTCTGTGTGTCTGCATGTAGTCTTGTCTAGATAGAGCTGACCTCATAACTTGTTGTCTCTGTGTGTCTGCATGTAGTCCTGTCTAGATAGAGCTGACCTCATAACTTGTTGTCTCTGTATGTCTGCATGTAGTCTTGTCTAGATAGAGCTGACCTCATAACTTGTTGTCTCTGTGTGTCTGCATGTAGTCTTGTCTCGATAGAGCTGACCTCATAACTTGTTGTCTCTGTATGTCTTCACGTAGTCTTGTCTCGATAGAGCTGACCTCATAACTTATTGTATTTGTGTTGATGTGTGTCTACACGTAGTCTTGTCTCAGCAGATCTGATCTCATATCTTATTGTCCCTGTGTTTGTTTTTGTCTGTAGTCTTCTCTCTGTGAATCCAGCCTCGTATCTCATTCCTTCTTTACAGCTGTTCTTATTTTTCTCTGAGTGCATTAACTTTGATGTCTGCTGTTTGTCCTGGGATTAGACTGCCTTTTCCCTTGCACCTTTTTGTTTTCCTTTTTCGGTATCTGCAGCTTTGGCATTTTAAATGCACTTTATAATCCCAGAATGCCCGGCTTGATTCCGCTGAGGGCGACTGTGCAGCTGGCCACCTTGGATTGATATTAACAGCATTATGGAGTGGCGACTGTATAGAAAGCAATGGCAAATTACTGAACATAAAAACTGATTAGTAACAGACAACAGTAACAAAATAGTTGGTCTTGTAATATCATGTAAAGGATGCCCAACTTGTTTGTGTTTTCATTCTCTTGTTTCTATTACCACTTGTGTCTTGTTATTTGTATGACCTCATTTTTACTTCCATTTAGATGCTTCTCTGTTTGAATTAACTCTCATGTTGTGTGTGTTCCTTGTTGCAGCCCCGGTGTGACCATCACAGAACTACAGAAGAGAGGTGGCTTGAATGATGAAGCTTACAAAGCTGTAAGTTTATTTAATCTGTTTAATTTTACTGTTGAGTCCACACCGCACATTCTACCTCATTGACACAGAAAAATGTAGGATTTGTGGGTGTGGATGTCTTGTGTCAGTGTGTGTTGTGGATTGGGACCATCTCACACAGAATAAAGATGGAATAAGTTAAAAGTTTATATGCAGTCTGTAGCTGAAACTATGACTAATATATATAATTTAAAAAAAAATTTTTTTTGGGGAACTTGAAATATTTGCACCTCATAAAAGCAGAAGAAATAATGAATATACGAGGGGAAGTCAATAAGTAGGTCACAAATGGTTGTTTAAAAAAAAAAACAATAAAGACGATCTTCTTCTACTTCCCTTCCACCTTGTACCTCATCAGAATGTCGGGGGGAGATGTAACATTCATTGATGAGCTTTGTCAAAAGGATAGATGCTCATTTCTGTAAGGCTGTTCTTTATGCCATCAGTCCAACTTTTACAAGGTCCTCCCCTTGCTCTATACCCATTGTAATGTTTCAATATGGCTGGCTTTGGTAGATAGGACCAGGGCACTCTTGTTAGATGTTCAGACCATTTCATTTGTTGTTGTTATGATGACCTGTAAAACGCTTCATTCCTAGCATTCATCTGATTTAGTGTTCTGTCTTCCCTTAAAACTCCCACAGCTCTTCTAAAGCATTTTATCTCTGTTGTCACAATTTTACGTTATTTAGAGGATGTAAGTGTCCACGTCTGGCACTGAAAGAATAGTGATGGCCAAAAATAGTTCTGATAAGATTCACTTTGGTACTCCAGGGTATCTGCTTGTGTGTCAACAGCGAAGATACTTGCCCCAGTACTTGATTAGCTTTGGTGCATCTTGAGCTTATTTCTCTGCCCAGTTTTCCATCAGATGTGAAAATTGCTCCCAAATACTTGAATTCCTCTGTTTGTCTTAAGATGTTGTTTTTTTTATTTTTTTTCTAATTTGTCTTTCTGTCACCATTATCTCTGTTTTCATAGTGTTTATTTTCATATAATATTCCTCCCCTTTGTTACTAATTTGCTTTAGGTGGTTCGGTAGGCATTCTGTACTTCCTGCTATGAGTACCTGGTCTTCAGTGAATAGTAATTCTATATCTCCATGATTAAAGTTTGTTTCCTTGCATATAGTATCTATGTATGGGATAAAAAAGAAGTGGCGATAGTACACAGCCCTGACACACACCAGAGTTCACTATACAAGTTTTTGACAATCCTGCCTTGGATCTTATGCAACATTTCCTATGTGTGTACAAGCTTTTGCAGATACTAATGAGACGATTGCTGATTCCCTTTTACTCCCATACATTCCAACAACATATTCCTGTCAACTCTATTAAAGGATTTTTCCTGGTCTATAAATGTCAACAAACAGGTCTTATCAACTTACTAAAGACGATAACAACTTGAAAACCATTCATTTTCACACATATACTGTCTCTGTATTTTTTAACATAACTTCCACTGACACTGATGCGTTTTATCAATTCTTCCAAACCTGGTGCACAGAACTGTGTGTTGTGTTTTCTAAACCACATTTTCACTTCACATTCAACTTCTGTGTCATTTGTGAAATTCCTGCCAAGGTGGGTTTTTATTGGACCAAACATTTCAATAGACTATACATTATGTTGTATGTTGAACCATGTGAACACCTTATTGCAGCTGCTACAGAGTCAACCCTTACTTGCCTGTCACCTATACTCATCTCCTCTACATGCTGCATTGACGCGTCTGTTGCAGTCTCAACAGGACGACCAGATCGGACTTCAAAATTTGAAAGCGCTTTTGAGAAAACCTTTTTATCGAGCAATGCACTGCTTTACAGGATAGGCATTTGTCAGCATGAACAGGAAGCATTTCCATATGAATGTCCTTTGCCCCCCTCCCCAGCCCAAACGCACAACAGCACGTTCTTTGATACTACACTCAGTATGTACAGTCGCCATTTTGTTTCTGTGTTGCGAATGCACTTGCAACACCTAGCGCCACTTAACAAATGGAGACATAAAGTTTGATGTTGCTGTCACCTAATGATACCTTTAGGCACCACTGACTACATTTTCCTGCCATCCCGTAATCATTTGGGACTTACTCATTAATTTTCCCTCGTATATTAGGAGTATTCATCTGAAACTCATATGAACTGCATCGCACATAATTGCCTACATTGAACATGATCATATCATAGTTATGTGATAAGTACTGATCAGTAAATTAAAGAGCTCATTCTTATTCTCCTATGATGCAGAGGTTCTGTTTTTGACAACTCAGAAGGTGACTGGGTTGATCCAAAATCCACCCAAAGAAACTTAAAGAGCAGTGGTTCAGTTTCTTTCATTTTAAGGATGTCGGCCAGATGAACTTCATAAACAAAATGTAGGCAGCATATGATAAGAAATGTGTGTCAAAGACAACAGTGACAGACAGCACATGCGGAATTCTTCTTCTTCAGCGATCTCATCATGCGCATAATCCACTGTGGGTCATAAACTGGGATGTCTTTTCAAGGTCTCTTAGGTTTCCCCAAAGCTTAGTTGTCAGTTCTACTGGGTGTTGCCATATGTCGCTTAGCAGCTCCGCCAGGAGAGGACAGTCTTGCAGGACATGCACATGCGGAATGATGATGTATCTATTTTGGGTGGATTTTGGATCAACCAGGTCATTTTCTCAGCGGTCAGAAAGAGAACCTTTTCATCATGGGACAATAAGCACTTGCCTGTGTATTCATTGGTCAGTACTTATCAGCTGACTATAACATGGTCATATTCAGCATGTGCAGTTACATGCAGTGCTGCATGAATGGGGTTCGAATAAATGCTCCTTATATGGTGAATTATTGGATATGACCAACAGATGAGATGGATAAGAAGAGCACTGTTCAACAATACTTCTTATCAGGATTATGCTGTTAGTTATAGATTTCAGCATGCTCACTGCAAACATGGACCCTGCAAGAACACTAAGTCAAAGGAGGCGTGGTGAGAGCACTGTGCAGAAAACCAAATAAGAAGAATAAACCAACTCAGAATATTTTTTTTTCTAGCTGATACATGTATCTGCCTCAGGGGTGGGGAACCAACAGTCTGCATACAAATAAGCCAGATCTGTAGAACAGCTGTACATGCAAAACATGTTTTGGAACAAGACCAGGTCCAGAAATGGACAAACAACCAGAAATTTCTCCTGGAGTGTACAGCTAGTGAATGCAGAAGAAGAATACTAGTCACAAGAGACAGTATCAGAACTGACAAATGTGGAAGCCCAGCTTACATCCCTTTCTTCTCTGCTGTCTATTCCTTACTGGAGCAGTGGTCATCATGGTAGATTCAACTAAAATATTGAAGACTTTACTCGTCGATCCGTATACAAGGATTTCTATGTGATTACCTGTTTTTTAGTTTATGAGTTCAACCATTGGTCTGTATAACAGGATTATAAATATTTGTGAACCATGAAGTTTCCACTGACCTATATATTTGGTCTTTTTCATCTAGTTTATTGAGAGAAGCAGAACGACGCATGCCCTGGGCAGGCCAGGAGAAGCTGATGAAGTGGCCAGGACCATTGCATTTTTGGCATCTGACGACGCGTCCTTCGTCACTGGAGTCAGTCTACCCGTGGACGGAGGCAGGCACGCCATGTGCCCACGATAAACATGAACCTTCTGCCTACGCTCGGTAGACCTCATGCTCTATTACTAGCCAGATCTTCTTGAAATCACTTTTAGGTGTGGAGTAATTAATGCTTTGAATTAATGTAACAGTTTGATTTGATTACCTGACAGTTCTTGGAATTGTTTGTCAGATTTGATTATTTCAAAAGTGATTATGCTCAAATAAATTCCTGTCTTGTAGCAGCCAAGTTATTTGTTATCTGAAAGCATGTTATACAGCTGGGCTTCATGACACAGAGAAACATCTACAACAGACATGATGTAATGTACAAGGGCAGAGGATAATCACCATACACCATGGACTATAAGATTGGCACTATATGAAACAGAAGGCTGAGGATATGGCATGATGACAAATGCCACACAGCATGGACTGTACAAGACAGCAGGATGTAGAAAGACATGTCATTACATGAGACAGATGTCTGTTGAACATGATTTAGTTTCATTTACTTTAATTTAATAGCCAGTACAGTATTGTTGTTTGCAGTTAAATTGTTCCGTATCATTCACTTCTTATTTCTGTTCATATTTTTACCATTCTACATGGTAGAGTGTGCTGCTGGGCCCACTGGTCATTGTGGCTATTTCCCATCTCTGTGGATTTTTAAACATTGACCATGTGTGCGAAGCGAACAGAGGGACCCATTCTTCCTGCCCTGACGCCGTGAGGCATTCCTGGAGTAGAGAAAAGAACAGGACCACGTATGTCTGTTAGACATACATCTTTGCTTAGCTTTCACTGGCTGTAACTATGGTGGAAAGTTCTGGTTGTTTGACCACTTCTGGACTTTGATCTTGTTTTGGGGACTTGGGTGTTGCATGCACGTCAATTTTACACATCTGAATTATTTGTATGCTGTTGATTCCTCACCTCTCGGACAGCCACATTCTGGCTTCAAACCTGTAACTGCAATGGGTCCCCTTTTACAATGTTATATACTTGTCAGGGGGCCAGGGGTCTATTCTTGTGTCCCCCAAAATGGGGCCCTGCACTTCCTCTGCACATTACAGTGCCAGCCAAAGATAGACCCATGTTTTCTGTGTGAATAGCACTTGTTTGTTTTTCCATGAAGCAGTTCCATGAAAACATGTTATTTTTGTTTTTCCTTCTGCTGGACTTGTTCCTGATTACTTGCTGCTACATAATGTTTCTACATTGTTTGGATTCAAGTAGTTCCCCCGTTCTCAAATAGAAAGGGAATAGGTTATTCTCAGGATTGTTGACCTTTATACAACTACTATAAACAGAAGGGTAATCTGTTCACACACATTATTTACATGAGTCAGAGTTCAAGCACAAACTGTCAGTAATTTCACAGTTACTTGTAAGTTTTCTTTTTAGAACTGATGTTCTATGGTTTTGCTTCACAAATTTTCTTTGTTGTTGTTTTTGTAAACCAAAATTGAAGGTAGCACATGATGATGATGATTGATCTTTTATATTGGCAAATGGATGACTACTGAACATATCCTATTTTTATTTCTTTTTTGTTCCTATATCCCAGTTCGTATTCTTCTTCTTCCCATCCTGTAGACCTTAAAAGACCCTCCACTGTTCCTCACAAATGAACTGTTTAATGAATAACATATTCTTTACAAGTCAATTATGTGATCAACAAAGTATGCTATATGTGATTTATAAATCAATTGTTTGGTAAATTATGTATGATTTACATGTTGCTTGTATATGGCAGTCACCATGTTTTATGAATGATTTATGACTGTGTCAATCAGATGGTGAATAAAAAAGAATAAAACATTTGTTAAAGACATGAACTCGGAAAAAAAATATTATTAGTTGATTGTTTATTATATTTGTATGTGTGTGCACATTATTTTAACACTTTGTTCTGTGCTTTTTGTCCTGTCACACATGTATGGATTTTTGTTCTGACAATTAATCACTTTCATCAGTGAGTTGCATTCAGAATCGACATCACAGCACGAGGGACATTTCCATAAGTGTTCCGTCTCCATCTTCAGCGGCCAGCTTAGAGTTGCAGCTCTGATGGCTCCAGTTGCAGTATTGTTATATGTCTGTCCTACGTTTCCTCTGAGTGTCAGCCAGATCCTTTGTTTATTTCCCACTGCACCATTCTCTTCATACCAGTTATCTGTTTGTGTTTCAGCACTGTTCACTCAAAGGGCATTGACCACACTTAGCTTCTCATGCATCACTTCACCACAAAATGGTGCAGAACCAGTTAATCCACACACATCTGAGTATCCTGGAGAACATATATGTTATACAAGTTGTCTTTAGCTAGCTTAGTTGGTTAAACAAGCTGTGCAGTGATTGGGTGATAATCTCCTTATGGTCTGAGTTCACGCTTGGGAGGTAGACAGAAAAGCCACATATTTCCCAGATTTACAATATCTACCATGGAATCAAGGCTGAAGGGTTGCAATATCCATAGTACCGAACCAAAGGGTTTACAACTCATGGTTTCTGGATTCCCCCTCCCCTCCCCAAATTTGTCTTCTGTCATGATCATCAATAACCAAAGATAACTTGTATTACTCCATCACCAGCCACATATCACAACATCAAAAACCAGTGCAAACCTTTTCATACAAAAACGCTAACCACATAAAAAGACTATGATCAGTTTCACTCTCAGACATTAACCATATAATATGAACATCTATTATCACTTTGACACTCAGCCGTTAACCACATAAGAAGAACAGCTATAACCAGTTTCACATCAACCACCTGCCACACAAAAATCAGGTACATAGAATTTCACATGAAAATGTGGCTGTCCTCCGAACAACGGTCCCAAATTATAGAGGCCAAAAATATACCCTAACAGGGCCTCAGTCATATGTAAATCGCGGACCTCTTCTGGCGACTACATCTCCTGCAGCTTCTTCCATTTTACTTGCTCGTGAGTCCCAGCCCTCTAGTTTAGCTCTGCTCTACATCGCTCGTAGCGGCGCGGGAGATGCTCTCGGCAGTGACTTTAACTCAGCGGAAGCTTTTTCGCAGTATGCTGTGTAGTCGCCAGAAGAGGTCCGCAATTAACATATGACTGAGGCCCTGTTAGGTATTTTTAGCCTCCATAATTTGGGACCGTTATTCAGAGGATAGCAAAAAATTTTAAACACATAACAAGAACATCTATAACCAGTTCCACACTCAGATATTAAACATATCACAAAATAAGGATAAACACAAGACAACCACAAGTAAAAGGCAGGCCAGACTAAGACCAGAGTTAAAACTACTAGTCAAAACGTTAGGGCACCTCGTTGTGCAGTTACAGAACTGGCCTTGTACATTCAGATAGTTCTGAAGCAACCATGAGTTACAAGATGCTATGAAAAAGGTCCAGATCTGAAGCCATCATAAAAAATATAAAGAGACGGTCTTTAGGAAAGGTGGGCGTGGCTACATAATGAAAAGAGAGAAACTACTTATTATACAAGATTTATCGAAAGAAAAAGACAATAGGTTCCACAGCCTTTTCTCATAATTTGCAACGTATCAGCACAGAACTAATGGTATTAATAATACTAATACATACTTTTGGGGGTTGGCAATATGGGAAGAGCCTATTCCCAGTTGTCAATGCAGTTGGGGATAATTTCCACAGACTGTATTTAACCAGCTGTAAACGCGTAGAATAAAGACAGAGGTCTCGATAAAGATGAACGGTGAAGTTTACAGCAAAGAAAAGTGAAGTAATTGTTTCCATGCAATGACCAGTGAACATTTTCAAGCATTTCCTTTTCGCGTCAGCTTGTGACTCCCCGACCCCAACAATCAACATGGCAGCAGCGACCACGAGAAACCTCAGCGGAAAAGTGGCTCTCATTACAGGTATTTGCCGTCTAGGTGTTTTAACATATCTTACTTTATAACAATAAAAGCTTGTTTGCCGTGAGCAGGTGTGGAAGTGGCTACAAACGGCTGGGCAAGAAGTGGGCACACGGCGAATGGGGGTGTCTCTGTGATGTCGTTTCTGAATTCAAAACATTCAATGAATGGCCGACCAGCAGAAGTGAGAAGAGGAAACTGTCTCGTTTTGGCAATGGCTATTTTTCACGTGGGTTCCGTTTGTGGACGTTCGTCTTGGGTCTTCTCCACCTCCTCCCACCAGCCTTTTTATTAATTTCTTTCTTGTGAGTCGCACACACCCGCTTGCTTTGTTTTCCTTGATTTAGAGAACATGAATCGTATGCGCGCAAAGAATGCCCTGTACTACTGTAGTAGTAATTTTCACATGTTTATTGTTTTTCTACCCTGTTCAACCCTCAGGGTCATAACTTATATGTATGTATGTTTGTATGTAGTGTCCGGGCCCACTCTAAGTCGTCTTACCACCATCTAAATCTGAAACAAACTCCAGGTTTTTTCAGTTCCCCCTTTGGACTTTGATCCTGATAGGGTCAGAAGTTCTACATTGGCCTGTTGTAACTCTTGAAGCCGAGTTTCTTTCAGAGAGCGACGTTCTACAAAGTCCCTGCTACATGATAATGATGATGTAACTACAAGGGCAGTTTTGACTCTTTCGTGAGTCTTTATAATACAAGTAATCCGTCCTTTAAACATTCGGGGGGGGGGGGGGGGGGGGGAATACACGTAAACATAATTTTATTGACAATCATCTAGTCACTGCACTTTGAAAGTTAATAATTCAGTTTCTTAAAATGTGATCATTCAAGTTGGGAAAGTATCACTTGTATATGTGTCTTTACAAATGAATACTTTTGAAGTAAAGATTCAAAAGCACAGAAAATATATCTGTCCATCCACATCTCACTTGTACACACATGCCAACAGTGGCTATGGTGAACACACACACACTCCTTTCTTTGCCCATTTCCAATACCATCATGTCCTGAAAAGTAAAGATGAAGAGGTTTAGGTTTTGCCTGACTGCTCTTAGATTTTGTGCTCCAGATTACTCTCATAGATGTAACTAGGCAATGACCCAGATTTGTGTTATATAATGTCTGTATATCAAACACAAACTGTTAATGCTGTGCAATCTGTGTAGACTGCCTCTGTTTCTTTGCCCCTTTGGTTTCCAATGCAAAGACATTCTAGTTACATTGTTCTCGGGTTTTCTCAACATGTTTCCTATCCAATGCCACTGTCTTTTCTTTGTCTCTTGGCCTACTGAACCTGATAAGTTCTCCCCTGAAGCTCAACATTAGAAATTCTATCGTACCATCTAACTCTCTCTGTTCAGCAGGGTCATACTTGGTCTCTTTTTCTGACTCCTGTCCCAGAAACTGACTGTCCCAGACATTCACTATCCCAAACATTCACTATCCCAAACATTCAACTATCCCACACATTCAACTATCTATCCCAGACATTAACTGTCCCAGACATTCACTATCCCAAACATTCACTATCTCAGACATTCACTATCTCAGACATTCACTGTCCCAGACATTCACTGTCCCAGACATTCACCGTCCCAGACATTCACTGTCCCAGACATTCACTTTCTCAGACATTCACTATCCCAGACATTCACTATGCCAGACATTCACTGTCCCAGACATTCACTATCTCAGACATTCACTGTCCCAGACATTCACTGTCCCAGACATTCACTATCCCAGACATTCACTATCCCAGACATTCACTATCCCAGACATTCACTGTCCCAGACATTCACTTTCCCAGACATTCACTGTCCCAGACATTCACTATCCCAGACATTCACTATCTCAGACATTCACTGTCCCAGCATACACTATCCCAGCATACACTATCCCAGACATTCACTATCCCAGACATTCACTGTCATGGAGATTCACTATCCCAAACATTCACTATCCCAGACATTCACTGTCCCAGCATACACTATCCCAGACATTCACTGTCCCAGCATACACTATCCCAAACATTCACTATCCCAAACATTCACTATCCCAAACATTCACTATCCCAGACATTCACTGTCATGGAGATTCACTATCCCAGGCATCCACTGTCCCAGACATTCACCATCCCAGACATTCACCCATTCCATTCATCACTTTAACTCTTTAAGTGGCAGAAGTTTTTCCTGGAGATATTCACAGGAAATAGAACCACTGTGGAAAAAAAAAGGACGACTGTATTAGCTTAAAATCTTAATGTGGTTTTTTTCTAATTACATGATATTGTGTCCACTGCTACAAGTCATTCTTTCTAATTACATGATATTGTGTCCACTGCTATCAGTCATTCTTTCTAATTACATGATATTGTGTCCACTGCTACCAGTTCATTCTTTCTAATTACATGATATTGTGTCCACTGCTACCAGTCATTCTTTCTAATTACATGATATTGTGTCCACTGCTATCAGTCATTCTTTCTAATTACATGATATTGTGTCCACTGCTATCAGTCATTCTTTCTAATTACATGATATTGTGTCCACTGCTACCAGTTCATTCTTTCTAATTACATGATATTGTGTCCACTGCTATCAGTCATTCTTTCTAATTACATGATATTGTGTCCACTGCTACCAGTCATTCTTTCTAATTACATGATATTGTGTCCACTGCTACCAGTTCATTCTTTCTAATTACATGATATTGTGTCCACTGCTACCAGTTCATTCTTTCTAATTACATGATATTGTGTCCACTGCTATCAGTCATTCTTTCTAATTACATGATATTGTGTCCACTGCTACCAGTTAATTCTTTCTAATTACATGATATTGTGTCCACTGCTATCAGTTCATTCTTTCTAATTACATGATATTGTGTCTACTGCTATCAGTCATTCTTTCTAATTACATGATATTGTGTCCACTGCTACCAGTTCATTCTTTCTAATTACATGATATTGTGTCCACTGCTACCAGTTCATTCTTTCTAATTACATGATATTGTGTCCACTGCTACCAGTTCATTCTTTCTAATTACATGATATTGTGTCCACTGCTACCAGTTCATTCTTTCTAATTACATGATATTGTGTCCACTGCTACCAGCTCATTCTTTCTAATTACATTATATTGTGTCAACTGCTACCAGTTCATTCTTTCTAATTACATTATATTGTGTCCACTGCTACCAGTTCATTCTTTCTAATTACATGATATTGTGTCCACTGCTACCAGCTCATTCTTTCTAATTACATTATATTGTGTCAACTGCTACCAGTTCATTCTTTCTAATTACATTATATTGTGTCCACTGCTACCAGTTCATTCTTTCTAATTACATGATATTGTGTCCACTGCTATCAGTCATTCTTTCTAATTACATGATATTGTGTCCACTGCTACCAGTTCATTCTTTCTAATTACATGATATTGTGTCCACTGCTATCAGTCATTCTTTCTAATTACATGATATTGTGTCCACTGCTACAAGTCATTCTTTCTAATTACATGATATTGTGTCCACTGCTGTCAGTCATTCTTTCTAATTACATGATATTGTGTCCACTGCTACCAGTCATTTTTTCTAATTACATGATATTGTGTCCACTGCTACCAGTCATTCTTTCTAATTACATAATATTGTGTCCACTGCTACAAGTTCATTCTTTCTGCTGTTTATCTCTCAAAGAAGCTCAGGACCTCAACAAACTCACACAATGCCCTTTGTGCACTGTACCTGACTAGGATTTTGCAGCTAAATCTGTCTACGGGATGAGGTAGCCTGATGAATATGTGTCTACAGGATGAGATAGCCTGATGAATATGTGTCTACAGGATGAGATAGCCTGATGAATATGTGTCTACAGGATGAGATAGCCTGATGAATATGTGTCTGTTCCCTTAGGGGCCTGATAAATACACAAGGTGAACAGGTGCTTGCATACAGGGGAGGGGGGAGGGGATTGTTTTCCTTGGGTGATAGGAAGGGGGGATGTATTCCCAATGACATTAAACAGACAATAAAACAAGTTATTGCTCTTGTTTCACATTCCAGGAGCCAGTTCTGGTATTGGTGCTGCGACTGCTGTCTTGTTCTTCAAGCTGGGAGCTTCTCTTGTGCTGACTGGACGTAACCTTGACAACTTATCAGCGGTGGGAGCTGAATGTGAGAAGAATTCACAGGAGAAAGTATATTACTGTTTTTTTTTCATTTTATTTTTTAAAATAACAAGGGTTTAAAATCTAGAATGTTTTTCTTTATTGTATATTTTAAAATAACAAGGGTTTAAAATCTAGAATGTTTGTCTTCAAATAACAAAAGTTTAAAATCTAGAATGTTTGTCTTCAAATAACAAAAGTAACTGTAGGGGATGTCAGTTTTTTTTAAATTTGAAAATGTCAAACATTAGGGTATAAATAATATGATTTCTCAGACACAGAAATATTTAACTTAGAACGGTACTATAAGGTATGTTCATGGAATAAGAGATTGGGGCCGGCCAATAAGATGGTGGAGACGGAATATTAAAGATACCCTGAGCATGACAATTAATTGCAGAAGAAGTGGTAAAAATTTAAATATATCTAGCAGGTTGTGATAAAAATGATGTTCTCCAGATGACTTGCTACATGATCATGATGATGTTTTAAGATTTAAAATCAAATCGTTAACTGTGAAATGCAGTTATTTCTCATTGAAGTGTTCAATGTTCAGTATCTAGCAGTCACAGGAGTTACAAGTATCTGGATGTTTTTGAGCTGAGAATATTAGTAGGCATTTATAAGCTCAGAGTATTGGTAGATTTGAATGAGTTCAGAGTATGAGTAGATGTTTGGGAAGTAAACGTAGTCGTTAGTTAGTCTTTATTCTTGGGCCTAGGGTGGCGCATAGGACAGAGGTCATAGCTCTGCATGTCTGCGGTTCGTTGCCACCTGCTTTAGGTCTTGGATGTTTGTTAGGCCCCTTGTTGAGCCTTCCCTGTTGATGGTTCTATGTGGGGTCTCTCCTGGTCTTCCTCGTTTTCTTTTCCCGTCTGGTGTCCATATCAGGGCTTGATAGGGAAGTCTGGTCTTATCCATTCTGAGTGCATGGCCGATGTAGTTCCAGCGGCACTTTCTTATAAAACTGGATACATTGTCTTGCTTGGTCTCTTGTCTTATTTGTGTATTGGATCTGAAATCTGTCCAGTAAAGATTTCGTATTTTTCTAAGACATATTTTCTCAAAACTGTCTAGTTTTTTAATCTAGAGCTACCGTAGCTTTCCAACTCTCGCATCTGTAAATCAGCACTGGAATCACACAAGAGTTAAAGATCTTAAGTTTTGCATGATTACTGAGTGTCTTTGACTTCCAGATATTTTATGCTTTGTTAAAGGCACTTAGATGCCAGTGCAATTTTAGAAATTTCTGGTGCAGAGTCCCTTATAGATGTCATTTTACTTCCTAGATATGTAAAGCTGTTGACTGTTTCCAGAATGTGATTGTTTAGTTTGATGTCGTCTGAACTATTGGTAATATCAATACTTTTTGGCTGTGGTAATTTGGAGTCCGATTTGACCTGAAACATTTCGGAGATTGTTTGTTTTCTCTTGGTGCATTGAACTCAGTTGCACTATGTCATCAGCAAAGTCAAGGTCTTCTAGAATTGTGTCAACCCATTTTGTGAATGACCCAATTGACTGCTGTTGCAAAGAGCATCGGTGATAGGACGCAGCCTTGTTTCACTCCTGTTTCCACTGGGAACCAGTCAGAGTTGCAGGATTCTGTTCTTACACTTTTTTCACTGACACTGAAGAATTTGGTAGGAAAACTGCAGATTTTAAGTAGTTTCCATTCCAAAGTGTAGGACAGTGGATATTGTTGAAAGTTTTTTTTTTTTAGGTCAAAAGTAGTTGTAGATGTTTGTTAATATTAGTAGATGTTTGTGAGTCAAAAGCACTTTTAATTACTAGGAAGTCCAGGGTGTCAGTAATCATCTGTTCAATGCTTTGATCCTTATCATGTTTTATGTGACAGCCTCTACTGCTGATTGCCGACTTGGACAAGGAGGAGGATGTGGCTAAACTGGTGACTGACGCCATCAAACATTATGGAAGAGTTGACATTTTGGTGAGTAGATAAGTTCATTTCTTATTCTGCTTTGTCACACTCTTTCATCTGTCGACATGATTATATTTAGGGCTGAATATAAACGAGTGTGACAGTTGACTAATTCTCTAGTAAGATTCTGATGAAGTGAGATTGACACAATAATAGTACGTGAGAGTGACTGTTAAAAGTAAACATTTATAAAATAATTCTGGATGGAAGGCAACAGATCCTGTAAGTGGGACATTTTTGTTTACTGTATGAATCGTGCGTGAACATTTGGGAGCAGCATTAATTTGCATGCAAGATATTTCCTGGACAAATGCAAATCACCGTCAACAACCCAGACACTTTAAATAACATGTTTATCTGATCAATGTTGGCAGATAACTGGACAAATACAAATTACTGTCAACAACCCAGGCACTTTAAATAACATGTTTATCTGATCAATGTTGGCAGATAACTGGACAAATGCAAACCACCGTCAACAACCCAGGCACTTTAAATAACATGTTTATCTGATCAATGTTGGCAGATAACTGGACAAATGCAAATCACCGTCAACAACCCAGGCACTTTAAATAACATGTTTATCTGATCAATGTTGGCAGATAACTGGACAAATGCAAATCACCGTCAAGAACCCAGGCACTTTAAATAACATGTTTATCTGATCAATGTTGGCAGATAACTGGACAAATGCAAACCACCGTCAACAACCCAGGCACTTTAAATAACATGTTTATCTGATCAATGTTGGCAGATAACTGGACAAATGCAAATCACCGTCAACAACCCAGGCACTTTAAATAACATGTTTATCTGATCAATGTTGGCAGATAACTGGACAAATGCAAATCACCGTCAACAACCCAGGCACTTTAAATAACATGTTTATCTGATCAATGTTGGCAGATAACTGGACAAATGCAAATCACCGTCAACAACCCAGGCACTTTAAATAACATGTTTATCTGATCAATGTTGGCAGATAACTGGACAAATGCAAATCACCGTCAACAACCCAGGCACTTTAAATAACATGTTTATCTGATCAATGTTGGCAGATAAACAATGCAGGCATTCTTGAAACTGGGAGTATTGAGAATACATCGTTGGGACAGTATGATCGAATCTTCAGAACTAATGTCAGGTAGGACTCAAACTATATTTTATAGGAAATTAATTTTCTCTCTCTCTGTTGGTGTATATATCCATACTTCAGGAACTGAATATTGAAGAAGGTTGGCTATTAAAGACGATACAACACAGAAAATTGAAATATTTTGGTCACTTGAAATGTCACGAATGTTTAGAGAGAACAATAATGGAGGAGTATATTGCATGGGAAGAGAGGAACAGGAAGGCTAAAGAGAAGATGTGGCGGATGATCTCCACATGGGTGCATCGGATGCGGGACATCTTGCTTGTGATCGAGAAGGTTTCTGGAGGGTTGTTAAAGGACATGCTTCTGACTGTTGGTGTATATCAGAGTCTGGGGAAGTTAACTACTGTAGACCCCTGAAACTATCAGGGACTAAACCATAATTTCTTACGCTACTTCTAGAAGAACAAGGAGATTGATGTAAATGAGGATAAATTTTAAAAATCTGTCAGGATTCCAAATTCATGCAGTCAGGTCACCCCACAATTGCTCTCTTCCTATGCCAGTGAAAACCACACAGAATGCCCGTTGCTGTCCCTTGTGGAAACTCAAACAGATAGCAGTCCCAGCAAAGTCTTCTTATTCTTTTTGTACACCGGCTGTTAACTGTGGTGGAAAGTTCTGGTTGTTCACACACTTCTAGACTTTGATCTTGTTCCAGTACTTGAGATGTATATCCATTTTACAGATCTGACTTCTTTGTATGCAGACTGTTGGTTCCTTGCCTGTCATGCAGATGCATTCTGACTTTGAAGGAAACACCCTTAATTAGTAGACTTTTACAACATGCTTGCACATACATTAGATGCCTAAGGCAGCCACCAGAAATGCCAACACATATAGTCTATCACAGGAGTTGCTTTTCATAATTGATGGAAGCAGCAGTCATGACAAATCAGCAGATCAACATACACTACTGCCTAAGGCAAACTACCAGTTCTGTGGCAACCAAGCTTTTGCCTTTTTCTTAAATATGCAGTGTCATACCAGGCACTTAGTTCTTTAGCTGGCCAATAGAATTGGATTTTCCTTTAGCTCATGTGCCATCTACTTTCCCACTGGGGGTTGAAACCCCAACTTTCAACAGGGTCCACTATGGGAAGATGAGACAGGCTTGAGTAAGAGAGGTTAAGAGATGCTGAGAGTCTTGTACTGCACATTACTGCTCCATTAGAATGTCTCCCCTACCCCCTCCCTTCATCAACAACATGAAAGGAAAATCTAGTGCCAGATTTAGAATTTGTAACTCTGACACCAAAAAGCTGTAACATTCAATGTTGTGACTTGTTCAGTGGAAGAAAATGGAATGTTGTAGACAGCTGAGTAAAAGACAGTTGTCTGCTGCTTCTGTTGTTGAGTGAACACAAATGTTGAGTGAACACAAATGTTGAGTGAACACATATGTTGAGTGAACACAAATGTTGAGTGAACACAAATGTTGAGTGAACACAAATGTTGAGTGAACACAAACTTATTATTGCGACCATCCCTCAGATCCATATATCAACTGACCATGCTGTTGACACCCTACCTGGTTGAGAGCAAAGGAAATATTGTCAACGTGTCCAGCGTCAACGGTCTCCGCTCGGTAAGTTGGGCTCACTGTTTAAATGCCATTGTCGTAGCAATTGACAAATATATTCTGTCTGTCTAAAAGAAGCTGAACAATTAGAAAAAAATAAAAGTAATAATGCAGCAGCGTTGTGTTCTGATATTATTTCATCTAATTTTGGAAGTATAACAAAACAATAACAGGAAAAATGGCTCAACTAATTCTAAAGTTTTGTTGAAATTCTTTGTCAGATTATAATTTCATATAATTATTTTACAAACTTTTTTTTTAAATTTGTATCTGTCCTCTTCTAATAAAAGTAACATCTCACAAAAATTGGAAATCCAGCTCAGTTTATTTAGTTATGTTAAGCAACTTTGTAAAAACTGTTTATGATTCCCCAGTTTGCTGTGTGGTAACTTGATTCATGTTTCCCCAGTTTGCTGTGTGGTAACTTGATTCCTGTTTCCCCAGTTTGCTGTGTGGTAACTTGATTCATGTTTACCCAGTTTGCTGTATAGTAACTTGATTCATGTTTCCCCAGTTTGCTGGAGTTCTGGCCTACAATATGAGTAAGGCTTCTCTGGACCAGTTTACAAGATGTGTGGCACTTGGTAGGTTCTATGTCTGTCTGTCTCTCTCTATCTCTCTCTCTCTCTGTCTCTTTCTCTCTCACTCTCTCTCTCTCTCTCTTTCCATCCTCCCACCCTGTCCATCTATCCATCTGACTGTCTTTATCAGTTATCTCTTTCCTTTTTTCTTTATGACCCTCTGGAAATAAAGTTTGTTCATTTGTTAATTCTCTCTCCTTCTTTCAGTTGGTCTCTCTGTCACTATTTTATTCCTTAACATTCTGTTTCCTTCTGCGTACTATAATAAAAGAATGTTTCATGAAAGAAAGAGTGGTCTTCATCCCTTGTGATGGACAAACAAGATAAAGAGAATAAATGAGAAAATGAGTTAAACTGAGACCTTGCAACACAAACATAACATTTTGGAGTTGAGTTAGCGTAGTCAATAAGAGACTGGCTTTCAAATTCAGCTGCGACTCGCTGCAGCCCATGGCCAGTGTTTGAAACTGGATGGTTCCCCGGGTCCACCCAGCCTCTAGGAAATGGGTATCGGAGTAACACTCTGGGATAAATGGAAGAACATCGCTGTAGCTACGGAGTTTCGTGCGGACAGCGACACAGGCGGACAGTTTCTTATCTACTGGTGGCAAAGCACTTATGGTTTATAACCATGTGCAGTAACACTGGCTCACATCTCCCGACTTTACCTTTTTATATAATATTTTCTTTCTATTGCAGAACTCGCACCAAAACAAGTGAGATGTAACTCTGTCAAGTAAGCTTTTATTTACAGAATTAGTTCCCCTTTATTTTTGTATGAGTGTTTATGTCTCTGTAGTAGTCTGTGCATCCCACTTCATTATCCATTTATGGTCTCTTGACATCTTGTCTTTTTTTTCTGTGTTCACCCATAAAGGAAGGTTAGCATGTTGTGTTACGGTTTACAGCTAGGCTGTGATAAATGCCTGTCATGTGATGAAAGGAAGTCTAAAACAGTCTAGGAGTAGATATCTAGTGGACAGTAGCAAATACTCAGACAGTTTATCTATTGACTTGGTGGGTAATGAACAGACAGAAAGATTGGCTGGATCCGCACCACTGAGTGGTGAATTGATACATGACAAGGCAGATTTGGTCAAGGCCCTTTGGGAACAAGCAACAGAATCAGAAGAGAAACAAGATTATTATGGCATACAGAGAATGAGGTAACTGGGTGTAACCAGAGGGTCTGGCCGGCTCGCTACACTCAGAGGAAAGGCAAGAGGAACATATAACCAGATTGTGACTGGTACCATCAGTATTGGAACTCTGCGGTGACTGCTGAAGATGCGGATGGAGCATCTACGGCCATGTTTCTGTTGATATATCTACGGCCATGTTTCTGTTGATATATCTACGGCCATGTTTCTGTTGATATATCTACGGCCATGTTTCTGTTGATATATCTACAGCCATGTTTCTGTTGATATATCTACCGCCATGTTTCTGTTGATATGTCTACCGCCATGTTTATGTTGATATGTTTACCACCATGTTTCTGTGAATATATCTACCGCCATGTTTCTGTTGATATATTTACCACCATGTTTCTGTTGATATATTTACCACCATGTTTCTGTTGATATATTTACCGCCATGTTTCTGTTGATAAATTTACCGCCATGTTTCTGTTGATATATTTACCACCATGTTTCTGTTGATATATTTACCACAATGTTTCTGTTGATATATTTACCGCCATGTTTCTGTTGATATATTTACCACAATGTTTCTGTTGATATATCTACCGCCATGTTTCTGTTGATATATTTACCGCCATGTTTCTGTTGATATATTTACCACCATGTTTCTGTTGATAAATCTACCGCCATGTTTTTGTCGATATATTTACCGCCATGTTTCTGTTGATAAATCTACCGCCGTGTTTCTGTTGATATATTTACCACCATGTTTCTGTTGATAAATCTACCGCCATGTTTCTGTTGATATATCTACCGTCATGTTTCTGTTGATATATCTACTGCCATGTTTCTGTTGATATATCTACCGTCATGTTTCTGTTGATATATCTACTGCCATGTTTCTGTTGATATATCTACCGTCATGTTTCTGTTGATATATCTACCGTCATGTTTCTGTTGATAAATCTACCGCCATGTTTCTGTTGATAAATCTACCGCCATGTTTCTGTTGATATATCTACCGTCATGTTTCTGTTGATAAATCTACCGTCATGTTTCTGTTGATATATCTACCGCCATGTTTCTGTTGATATATCTACCGTCATGTTTCTGTTGATAAATCTACCGCCATGTTTCTGTTGATAAATCTACCGTCATGTTTCTGTTGATATATCTACCGTCATGTTTCTGTTGATAAATCTACCGTCATGTTTCTGTTGATATATCTACTGCCATGTTTCTGTTGATATATCTACGGCCATGTTTCTGTTGATATATCTACTGCCATGTTTCTGTTGATATATCTACCGTCATGATTTGTGGATTTGACCACTTGTTCTTGCCATTGTTTGGTGCTTCTGTATAGTGACCTGCACATTTTGTTGGATTTATGTCCTTGGTGAATTTGTTTTCTTGTTTGTGTGATATCATAAACCAATATGTTTGTCTGGGATTTCACCAATTATTATGCCTGTATGTGTTACATGTGTCTGTGATTTCACAAACTATAATGTCTGTGTTTTATGTTTCAGCCCTGGGGTCATCATTACAGAGCTACAGAAGAGGGGTGGTTGGAGTGACGAGGCTTACACTGCTGTATGTTTTTGTTTTCTTTATAGAGTTGATTCCACTCACACACACTCTCATACACACTCTCATACACTTGAACACTCTCATACACTTGAACACTCTCATACACACTCTCATACACTTGTACACTCTCATACTCTCACACACACTCTCATACACTTCTACACTCTCATACACTCTCACACACTATCATTCACCCGTACACTCTCACGCTCTCATACACTTGTACACTTTCACACACTCTTGTTCACTCTCATACACTCTGACACACAAACTTCTAGATAGTTCCAGCAAATCTACAAATTTCAGCACATTAACAGAAAATTGTCTCCAATTTAATTTGAAAAAAAAGCCTCCTTAGTTTGAAAATTGTCCACTTTGATGTGAAAAATGTTGAAGACCAGAATCTGACGACATTTAGACCCTACAAAGATGCCAGAATCTGAGGACATTTAGACCCTACAAAGATGCCAGAATCTGAGGACATTTAGACCCTACAAAGATGCCAGAATCTGAGGACATTTAGACCCTACAATGATGCCAGAATCTGAGGACATTTAGACCCTACAAAGATGCCAGAATCTGAGGACATTTAGACCCTACAAAGATGCCAGAATCTGAGGACATTTAGACCCTACAAAGATGCCAGAATCTGAGGACATTTAGACCCTACAATGATGCCAGAATCTGAGGACATTTAGACCCTACAAAGATGCCAGAATCTGAGGACATTTAGACCCTACAAAGATGCCAGAATCTGAGGACATTTAGACCCTACAATGATGCCAGAATCTGAGGACATTTAGACCCTACAAAGATGCCAGAATCTGAGGACATTTAGACCCTACAATGATGCCAGAATCTGAGGACATTTAGACCCTACAAAGATGCCAGAATCTGAGGACATTTAGACCCTACAAAGATGCCAGAATCTGAGGACATTTAGACCCTACAATGATGCCAGAATCTGAGGACATTTAGACCCTACAAAGATGCCAGAATCAATGACATTTAGACCCTATAAAGATGCCAGAATCTGAGGACATTTAGACCCTACAAAGATGCCAGAATCTGAGGACATTTAGACCCCACAAAGATGCCAGAATCTGAGGACATTTAGACCCTACAAAGATGCCAGAATCTGATGACATTTAGACCCTACAAAGATGCTAGAATCTGAGGACATTTAGACCCTACAAAAATGCTAGAATCTGAGGACATTTAGACCCTACAAAGATGCCAGAATCTGAGGACATTTAGACCCTACAAAGATGCCAGAATCTGAGGACATTTAGACCCTACAAAGATGCCATAATCTGAGGACATTTAGACCCTACAAAGGTGCAAATAGTGAGGACTGGAGAGTGATCAGCAGCTACGCAGTTTATAATCAATTTAAGTCACCATTGATCACTGACATCATGAGGGCTAATAGAAGGGAATGGTTGGGGCACACTGAGAGAATAGCAGATGACAGAGAGACAAAAACTGTGTACACAAAGGAGCTGAATGGGAGTGGACCATGAGGCAGATTAAGCAGGTCGCTGAAAGACAACATCCAGACAGACCTGCAAACACTTGGAGTCAACAGCTGGAAGAGAAGACCAGCCACAGAGATGAATGGAGTGGAGTGATAACTGCAGTAGTAGTGCACCAGAAGGGCTCATAATGCTACAGAGGAAGAATAGGAGGACGATGATTAGAAAAAAAAAGGACAAGAAAGAGGAAGAAGATGATGAGGAGAAGGACAAGAAGATGAGAAAGAAGGAGAGGATGGTGGACGAGAATTTTAGTTCATGTGTTATGCCATTGTTCTGTATAGAAGGATTTATGTAATGAGATTGTAAGTGACGCATGTGCTAATGTATACATTTTGTCTCTTTCATCTAGTTCATTGAGAGGTGCAAGATAACACATGCCCTGGGCAGGCCAGGACAAGTTGATGAAGTGGCCAAAACCATTGCGTTTTTGGCATCTGACGATGCTTCCTTCATCACTGGAGCCACGCTTCCGGTGGACGGAGGCAGGCACGCCATGTGCCCACGATAAGCATGCACACTCTACTCTGACCACGCCAAGTAGACCTCATGTTGCTATACTAGCCAGAGTTTGACTCTTTTTTTGTGTGGAGATGTAATTAGTGCTTGAAATAAATCAGACATTTTGATTTGATTACACATTTCCTGGAAGTGTTTACCATCTCTGTTTATTTTATAAGTGATTTTGCTCAAATAAGAAGTTCCTGTCTTGTAGCAGTCAAGTTATTTTTTATGTGTAACCTCGTTAGGCAGCTGACACCATGGGAGAAATGTTTGAGCAGATGTGATTGACAGCGCAAGAGGAGACTCCTATGACAACCAGTGCCACATGATATGGACCATAAGAAGGATATCCACTGTTGCTCACACGGAGCCCTTCCACTTCTCCTAGCCAGCCCATAATTTCTGCCACACAGAAGTGGTCAGCTTTGACAAATGTGGTCAGCATTGGTACCACAGGGACATCTGTCAGTGTGGGCATTAGATTTGTTGATTACTGCTGTCAGTTCTGACACTTTGATCAGTAAATTCATAGCTGACTGATTCATATGTGTGCCCATATGTGGCCCCACAGGCAGGCCATTAAGAAAAAAAGGATCGGAGCACAATGTTCAGTCAGTAACATGTACATAACTGCAGACTACAGCCAGAGTTCAGTAGTTGAGTTACTAAAAGGTCAGTCACAGTGCCTTGCTGTCATTCACATTGCTGTTGTTTTATTTGTTTTCTTTATTATAGCCATTACAGTATTATTGATTTGTAGTCAAATTGTTCTGAGGCAGTTCTCATTTCTGTACACATTTGAAACCAACCTCCTTAGAGAGGGAGAAGTGCAGTAGCTAGCAACCTCACCTGCTGACCTGACAGTCATCAGCTGGAGCCTGCATCAATGTGAATTTATGTAAAAATTTATCACAAATGTAGTGTCAACTTCCATGCAACATGGAATGCTGGGTAGATGTCTACAAAAGAGAGATGTTTTATGTGTAAATTTTAGTTGTCTTTCCCTGGTTCCAATTTCAGGAAACAGAATCATGTTTGACTTTTTTCATGGTGCTAAATTCATGAAACTTGTCACATGTAAGTTTTCTAGGTTACTCAACTTGTTGCTACTTAATTGTTGTTAAATTGTTCTAATTAAATGCCAGAGTCTACAAAACTTGTTAATCAGAGTTTTTTTTTTATTTTTTAGGGTGTGACAGTACTGACTATGACCACTGACGCTCCCCTAGTTACCTTATAGTTTAGGGCAGAAGCTAGATATATATATATATATAACATTAGTTTAGAGGACCCGATTTTCCCTAATACTTTCCGCTAAAAACCGGATAGGGCTAGTTACATTCAACTCATGGATTAATAGTTTGGCAACCAATCAAAGTGCCCTGTCCGACCAATCAATAGAACGTACCAGATGGCGCTTCATCTTTTTGGCGCATGCGCATGACTGGCGTCACGTGGGTCGTCCATTTTGAGCGGAAGTCGCCATGTTTCGGGCATTCCAATTCCAAACGTGGTCGAGTGAGATCGTTATTTTTTTCAAGTGCAGTATCCAGATTAGCGAGTGTAGTTCTATATTAATTCGTTCTGGATTACGGTAGTGATTTCTGACCGATCTGAGGGGCCCTGCGGCATTTTTCATAACACCAAGGACTCAACGATTAGTACACAATTGTACCCATTGTCATGTCGCCATAGAATCGGCACAGACAAAGAGACAGTTTAAGGGATTTAATCCCAGTATTCATAACCGACTACTAGTCGTAATTGTAACCGACCACGTGTCGAATTTTCTAAACGACCACGTGTCGTATCTGAACTTTAAGAACATCAGCGGTGGATTATCTACAAGAGGATATCACAAGAAATAAGATCTACAAGAAGCCAAGTGTTCCGGTTTCCCCATCAAGTCCAGCCTTTGGGAGTATCCACGGGTGAGCTGTACTCGTGCGGGGAAGGAAACTGGACCCAGTAGACATTTCTCTTATGATGATAACCATTTGGTTTAAAATCAAACACCAAACCACTGTCAATTTGTAGCCAGTCAGCTGTCAGTAAAATTAAAGCGACATCATTCTTCATTCACTACTATTCTCGTCTGTCTTTGTTGCTGTGCGTGAGTAATAGTTGAGTGAGCGAGAAGGGGGCATTCTTCGCTTTCTTTCTCTGGGGGCTCTTTCTTTAAAAGTGGCAGAGGAGTTGCCACCAGGATAACTAGTCTGCCTAGCACCACCCATCGGAGCGGGGTAGCCTTATCTTCCTGTCCTCTGTCCCAGGAGCAATATCTCGGTCTCTCTACCCTTGTAGACAATGAAGTACCATACTTTTAGTGAGCCACACTTATAGACTGAAGATACCTCCTGTATAGGAACCCTACCCTTCCTAGGGCCCTCCTATAGTTGTGACAACTGGTACGCTCGTCCGGGATTTTACCAGAGACTATTTCCTAGTAGTCTATAGCTTTATAGGTACTGCACAACTGTTTAATAAGACTGAGCTAAAAATTGATGGTTTAAAATGTTTGTGTAAAGATTCAAAATTTTAAGTAGTTCAGTTCCAGACCTGGTGTTTTGTTACATACTGGTGTTGTTCCGTTACGTATCTGTTGTGACGTGTATAATACATACAGTACTATTTGGTGTTCTACTATAACCGTCAATCATAACTGCTAAGTGATTCTGTTGCGTTGATCTGGTTTTTCTGTCTACTCTGCCTACGAAACAACTTACCCCTCCGGTCATTGATAGAAGCCACTACCTATAGTCATGCCTTTCAAAAGACCAACTATGGCTGAGATAAGGGAAATAGGAATAGAGTTGGGGCACGAGGGTGAAGAGTTAAAAAGGTACATGCAAGATGTAGATAGAGAATACCGGGTGGATGAAAGAGAGTATGGTAAGGCTGAAGCAGAGGCTAAGGAAAGAGCCTTAATTCGAGAAGAAGAAAAGGCAGAGAAAGAAAGGGAAAGGGTAGAGAGAGATAAAGAAAGGCAACATGAAATTAGACTTCGTGAACAGGCCCCAATACCCTCCTCACCGATTCCCAACTATTCTTTACCTAGCCCTGAGGGTTCATCTCAGAATAATCTTGTGGGGGCCCTGAACTTTCCCTTGATGCACTTCGATGAAAAAAGCAGATAAAATAGACACCTACTTAGAGAAATTCCAAAAGATGGCTGAGAACTACGGGCTGGAAAAAGAGAAATGGAACTTTAAGGTTTCTCAGGGGCTTCGAGGAGTAGCTTATGATGTTTACAATCAGTTACCTCGGGGTCAGGAAAATGACTTTGAGGCATTAAAGCAGGCACTTCTCAAAAGATATGAGCTTACCTCCGGAGCATATAGGCATAAGTTTCGAACAGCCCAACGGCAAGCGGGTGAATCGTTTAGCCAACTGCTGAGTAGACTTCAAAGCTATCTTTCAAAATGGATGACTTTAGGGGGTCATGATCACTCATACGATGGGTTGGAAGAAATGGTGCTGGCTGAGCAACTGAGGGAGTGTATGTCGAAACCTATGCAGACTTTCTTAACAGAGAATGGGGCTGAACGCTTAGACGACATGATTACTCTTGCAGAACGCTATCATGCAGCCCATGGGGAAGTATATTTTAAGCCCAAACCCCAACCCACCTTTGAAAAACCTCCGGTGAAAACACCCGTACAACCTTATAAAAATGCCGCAAAGGGGCCCAAACCCCAACAAAATCAAATACAAAAACCCCAGCCGCAACTAGCGTCGGGGTGGAGAAATCCATACTGCAAATATTGCAAGGTTAATACCCACTACACGGCCGAATGCCCGAAAAAACCTGCCCCTCAGTATGCGGCATGTGTGGCAGCTGAAAAGCCTCCTAGTGTACTCTTCCCTACTACGAGGAGACCACCCGTGGTGGAAGTGATCTCAGTCAACCGACAGAGAGTCGATTGTCTCTATGATACCGGCCTCCAGTATGACAGTTTAATTGCATCATATCTGGTAGAACCTGGCCAGCTAACTGGAGACACTATTAAAGTCAGCGGGGCTACCAAGAGTTCCCCCACTATGACTTTGCCTATAGCTTTAGTTGAAGTGGAGTCCAAGTATGTTACTGGGACTGTATCCGCTGCTGTGGTAGATGATCCGATTTATCCTTTTATCCTAGGGTGTCGGTATGTTTATTTAAGTGAACCATCTACTCCCATAGCTCTCGCGGCTGTACAGACCAGGTCTCAGGCTAAAGATAGCCTAGAGCCTGTTCAACCTTTAAACCCCCTTCCGGGTGAAATAAGGGCTGCCCAAAAACAGGACCACACTCTTCAACCTTGCTACGGAAAGTTGCCCAAAGCCCAAACCCCTCCTAGTAAGGGAAACTTTTATGTCAAAAGTAATTTGCTGTACCGTAGGGCAGGAAAAGATGGAGACGAGTTTGGTCAACTTGTTGTACCTTCCCCCTACCGGAATCAAATCTTGCACATGGGACATACTATCCCATTCTCTGGACATATGGGGATTGGGGCTACACAGCAACGTATCGCCTGCCATTATTACTGGCCGGGGATGAATGGGGACATTAAGCGGTATGTAAAGTCATGTCCAGAATGCCAAAGGGTAGCTCCCAGGCATTGGACAGTTCCAGTAACTTTAGGTGACATGCCATTGATGAACACTCCATTTGAGAGAGTGGCAGTCGACATAGTCGGTCCACTCCCTCGCACCAAGAAAAGAAATTCCTTTATTTTAACTTTGGTGGATACCTGTTCGATGTGGGGGGAGGCGATTGCCCTACCCGCTATCGATTCAAAGCGAGTAGCGGAAGCACTCGTGACCATTTTCACAAGATTGGGATTTCCCAATCAAATTTTGACAGACAACGGTTCACAGTTCCGAGGGAAACTGATGGGAGAAGTCTTCCAGATTCTACAAACCCGGCATATCCACACTAGTCCATATCACCCACAGTCAAACGGCCAGGTGGAAAGATTTAACGGAACCTTAATGACGATCCTGAGGAAGTTAGCTCAGGAAAAACCAGAGGTTTGGGATGAGTACCTACCAGCGGCTTTATTCGCCTACAGGGAGGTACCCCATGGATCTACGGGAATCCCACCTGCTACTCTTTTATTCGGACGACCTATTAAGGGGCCCTTGGAAGCCCTAATGAGGACGTGGACTGAAGAGAAGGCGGAAGAGACTGTAGTGACAGCCTCCAAGTATGTGGAGGAACTGAAAGGAAAGTTGGAAATGGGTTGGAAACTGGCAACGTCAAATGTGAAAGCCGCCCGCAAGAAACATGCTGCCCTTTATAATAGGAAAGCCAAGGACCGTTTCCTGGAACCAGGAGACAAGGTCATGTTACTTTTGCCAAGTGGCAGCAATAAACTGGAGATTGGTTGGCAAGGGCCCTACTCGGTTGTGGAGAAGGTGTCCCGCACCAATTATAAGATCTCCAAAAGAGGAAAACTGAAAGTCTTTCACATAAACCTGCTTCGAAAGTATTTCGAAAGAACAGAAACTACCCCGGTGCATTTGATGACACTTGCGGTAGCTACGGAGGTCGAATGTGGAGAGGCTGCAGGGGTCGAGTACCCGTTACAACCTCGAGAAACAGCTCAGGACGTGGAAATAAACCCCATCCTGTTGGATTCGCAACAACAAAGAATAAGAGAGGTCTTAACTGCACACTCAGCAGTGCTCACAGACAAACCGGGTCGCACAAGTCTGGTAGAGTTTGACATGAAACTGACCAGTACGGAACCGGTCAGACAGAGGTGTTATCCTATACCTTATGCTAAGGAGGAAGCCCTCCAGGCTGAGATTGCTCACCTTTTGCAAGAAGGAATTATCTCCCCTTCTGAATCACCTTATAGTGCTAGTGTTGTGCTCCTAAGGAAACCTAGTGGGGAGCATCGGCTTTGCATTGACTACAGGCAACTAAATGGGGTAACAGAATTCCAAGCTGAACCCCTACCTGACCAAGGACAACTATTTTTTAGACTTAGCAAAGCTAAGTACTTTTCCAAGATAGACCTCAGTAAGGGGTACTATCAGATCCCAGTAAAGGAAGAAGTTCGCCCTTATTTAGCATTCAGCACCCCTCAGGGGCACTATGAGTTCAACGTCTTACCATTCGGCCTTAGCAATGCACCTAGTGTGTTTACCCGCATGATGAGAATGCTGTTAGGCCCATTAAAACGGCCAACGCTACAACATTTTATGGACGACATCCTCATCGCGTCAGAGCATTTTGAAGAACACCTCAACACTCTCGACACTTTGCTAGGAAGGCTTGCAGAAGTGGGGTTAACAGCCAGGCCTTCTAAATGTAAACTGGCTTTTGGACAACTAGAATTTCTGGGACACACCATATCACAGGGATATATGTGCCCTGAACAAAAGAACGTGGATAAGTTGCACAAGGCACCTAGACCAAAAACTAAGAAGGATGTGCGGTCCTTTGTATCTCTGTGTGGGTTCTATCAAAAGTACATACAAGACTTTAACACGATAGCCTCCCCACTTACAGATGCTACAAAAAAAGGGAGCCCCAGAGATGGTGCGTTGGTCAGCTGACTGTGAAACAGCCTATGCTAGCCTCAAGAAAAAGCTAACCTCCAAACCTATTCTTCAGCTCCCGGACCTCACTAAAACCTTTACGTTGAGGACTGATGCCAGTAATATAGGAATAGGAGCGACCCTACTCCAGGAAGGTAGAGAAGAACCATCCATGTTGTTTCCGATAGCATATGCCAGCCGGAAGCTTAACGGTGCTGAAAGAAATTATTCAACCATTGAGAAAGAGTGTTTATCCCTAGTATGGGCAGTGCAGAAATTCCAGCATTCTTTCTTGTACGGAACGAAATTTAAAGTACAGAGTGACCACCAGCCTCTGATGTTTCTAGCGGCATCTAAGAAGCTCAACACTAGGCTGATGAGATGGTCACTGTTACTCCAACCCTACACTTTTACAGTAGAGTACATTCCGGGGAAAGAGAATGTAGGAGCAGATTTCCTGAGTCGTCACCCTCCAGAAGAGGAGAATGATCAAGCTAACCCAGATGAAGGAGATACGCCAGATGGTCATCTTAGTCTCTAAAAAGTTTGGATCCCAGAACTTTTTTTTTACGGGGGGCCTATGTGACAGTACTGACTATGACCACTGACGCTCCCCTAGTTACCTTATAGTTTAGGGCAGAAGCTAGATATATATATATATATAACATTAGTTTAGAGGACCCGATTTTCCCTAATACTTTCCGCTAAAAACCGGATAGGGCTAGTTACATTCAACTCATGGATTAATAGTTTGGCAACCAATCAAAGTGCCCTGTCCGACCAATCAATAGAACGTACCAGATGGCGCTTCATCTTTTTGGCGCATGCGCATGACTGGCGTCACGTGGGTCGTCCATTTTGAGCGGAAGTCGCCATGTTTCGGGCATTCCAATTCCAAACGTGGTCGAGTGAGATCGTTAGTTTTTCAAGTGCAGTATCCAGATTAGCGAGTGTAGTTCTATATTAATTCGTTCTGGATTACGGTAGTGATTTCTGACCGATCTGAGGGGCCCTGCGGCATTTTTCATAACACCAAGGACTCAACGATTAGTACACAATTGTACCCATTGTCATGTCGCCATAGAATCGGCACAGACAAAGAGACAGTTTAAGGGATTTAATCCCAGTATTCATAACCGACTACTAGTCGTAATTGTAACCGACCACGTGTCGAATTTTCTAAACGACCACGTGTCGTATCTGAACTTTAAGAACATCAGCGGTGGATTATCTACAAGAGGATATCACAAGAAATAAGATCTACAAGAAGCCAAGTGTTCCGGTTTCCCCATCAAGTCCAGCCTTTGGGAGTATCCACGGGTGAGCTGTACTCGTGCGGGGAAGGAACTGGACCCAGTAGACATTTCTCTTATGATGATAACCATTTGGTTTAAAATCAAACACCAAACCACTGTCAATTTGTAGCCAGTCAGCTGTCAGTAAAATTAAAGCGACATCATTCTTCATTCACTACTATTCTCGTCTGTCTTTGTTGCTGTGCGTGAGTAATAGTTGAGTGAGCGAGAAGGGGGCATTCTTCGCTTTCTTTCTCTGGGGGCTCTTTCTTTAAAAGTGGCAGAGGAGTTGCCACCAGGATAACTAGTCTGCCTAGCACCACCCATCGGAGCGGGGTAGCCTTATCTTCCTGTCCTCTGTCCCAGGAGCAATATCTCGGTCTCTCTACCCTTGTAGACAATGAAGTACCATACTTTTAGTGAGCCACACTTATAGACTGAAGATACCTCCTGTATAGGAACCCTACCCTTCCTAGGGCCCTCCTATAGTTGTGACATAGGGGAAATGAAAAAGGTGTCAGCACTCAGTTTGTACAAATATGTTGGTATTGAAAGTACCTAAAAAGGTGTCAGCACTCAGTTTGTACAAATATGTTGGTATTGAAAGTACCTAAAAAGGTGTCAGCACTCAGTTTGTACAAATATGTTGGTATTGAAAGTACCTAAAAAGGTGTCAGCACTCAGTTTGTACAAATATGTTGGTATTGAAAGTACCTAAAAAGGTGCTGGTACTCACCGGCAGGGTGTTTATTAAGTAAAAATGAAAATGATAGAAGAAAAATTTGCCTTAAAAAAGTTGTCATTTCTGTGTACCACCATTAAAAACATCCTGCCTCCGCTCACCCTCCGCCAGACCTCAGCCGACACTTTATTCTTCCTCATACTGACACAAATTATCATGTAACAAATATTGTGATTTACACATTAGTTGTATGTTATCATAATCAATATCACATGTTATTTCTTACTTGTTATCTGTTTTATTATCCCAGCATATCGGTCCAACCCATTCTTGCTCTGTCCTCCGATACAGCAGCCATCTTGGTGTCTCCATTCTCACCACCAGTAGAAGTTGACTGGCTTATTTATCCATTTGCCCCGCAGTTTTTTCCGCATCCATTTTCAACAAATGATTCATTGTCTCTGACTCCTTTATCTCAATGTCACTGCACATTGGGCACTCCCATATGTACGCTGTCCTCCAGTGCAGCAGCCACTTGAGGGTACCTCTACTCATTGTTCCCATGAACATTTGGTGACAATGTTTCCTGTGTAGAGTTTAAAGAAAGCACTGGCGTCTTTCACCAAGCTTCCCCCCAAGATCATGCAGTCCTGTGTGTCAATAATATGATCAGTATGTCATGTGTTTGTGGTTTATGGGTTTGTGATTAACGAATCAATTATATAGTGATTTATATATGATTTACCTGTTAATTTTACATGGAAAAAATCATTTAATGAGTGTACCACTGTTTTAGAATGATTTAGATTATTGATTTTATGTCAGTCAGATGATAAATAAATTATTGAAGAAACAATCGTGTAATATCCATGATCAATCATATGATTGTTCCTCTATGGGTTCTGGGACCCCATCCACTGCACCCGCTCCTCTCAACAAGCATGCCGTAAATCATCACGTGCCTTGCCGCCAAGAGTGTGCAATGGTGCCACTACACAATCTGTGATCCACAGCTGCATGTATCAGTTAGTGTCTTGATGCCCCTCCATGCCATGACAAAAGGATGACAAGAATCTTCTCACGCCGTCTTCCTCTGTCTCTCTCTCCACAGATCTTTCCAGCGATCAGTGTTTCAGTTTTCTTCTTTTTGTAACATGTCCAGAAAAAAAAAAATAACTGTCTCTTTCTGATGTTTGAGATAAGTTGTCTTTGAGCACTCACCGCTTTCAAAACATCTATCTGGCTTTCTCTTCTAGCTGCCCAAGGAATTCTAAGGATTATTCTGTAAAACCACATCCAAAAGACCCCAAGAAATTGTTTGCCTTATTTAGTAATTGTCCGGAATTTACAGCCGTATTTTAAAAGTGGTTCTATATAGCATGGGAGAATTCTTATCCTAAACTCCAATGACATGAATTTATTGCATAAAATGTTCCTTCATTTTATAAAATGCAGTTTTGGCATGGTCTATCCTGTTCTCGATCTCTGTGATACATCTTCCATTGGATGTTAACCATGTGCCTAGATACTTACATTTCTGTACTTGTCCTAAAATAAAGCCTTTGACTTTTATTACACATTTAGGCACTATTCTTTTCTTGGAAATCACCATTACTTCTGTCTTTTTACTGTTTAAACTGAGACTCATTTTATCACTTTCTACCACCACTGTATCTGTCACTCCCTGTAGTTCTATCACTCCCTGTAGTTCTATCACTGCCTGTAGTTCTATCACTGCCTGTAGTTCTATCACTCCCTGTAGTTCTATCACTGCCTGTAGTTCTTTCACTGCCTGTAGTTCTTTCACTGCCTGTAGTTCTATCACTGCCTGTAATTCTTTCACTGCCTGTAGTTCTATCACTGCCTGTAGTTCTATCACTGCCTGTAGTTCTATCACTGCCTGTAGTTCTATCACTGCCTGTAGTTCTATCACTGCCTGTAGTTCTTTCACTGCCTGTAGTTCTTTCACTGCCTGTAGTTCTATCACTGCCTGTAATTCTTTCACTGCCTGTAGTTCTTTCACTGCCTGTAGTTCTATCACTGCCTGTAGTTCTATCACTGCCTGTAGTTCTATCACTGCCTGTAGTTCTTTCACTGCCTGTAGTTCTTTCACTGCCTGTAGTTCTATCACTGCCTGTAGTTCTTTCACTGCCTGTAGTTCTTTCACTGCCTGTAGTTCTATCACTGCCTGTAGTTCTATCACTGCCTGTAGTTCTATCACTGCCTGTAGTTCTATCACTGCCTGTAGTTCTATCACTGCCTGTAGTTCTTTCACTCCCTGTAGTTCTATCACTCCCTGTAGTTCTATCACTGCCTGTAGTTCTATCACTGCCTGTAGTTCTTTCACTGCCTGTAGTTCTTTCACTGCCTGTAGTTCTATCACTGCCTGTAATTCTTTCACTGCCTGTAGTTCTTTCACTGCCTGTAGTTCTATCACTGCCTGTAGTTCTATCACTGCCTGTAGTTCTATCACTGCCTGTAGTTCTTTCACTGCCTGTAGTTCTATCACTGCCTGTAGTTCTTTCACTGCCTGTAGTTCTTCTGACTTGTCGCTATCAGAATGGTGTCATCAGCATAACTCAGATTGTTTATAACATTACATAACCCTTGACTCATTAGGGTCATGGAGGTGTATTGATGGAAGCTCTAGCACATAAAACCTGCCTTCTTTCTCTGTGTTGCGCTTGATAAATAAGTATGATAACTTAGTCCTGTCCATTTCTTGAATTTTTTATTCCAGGTTCTTCTTTGCCTGCCTCTTCTTCAACTACATGTTCCTTGAAGTAGTCTTTGCAATTGAATCATGTCTCACCGTGTGCCCAAACCAAACTAGTGACGTTTCACCGGTGCCAAGAGAGGCTCCTGATGTTCCACACATTTGTTTATTTTGTCTCTGACATATTTATTAATTTTATGTTCTAAATAACTAATTCGTAAAATGCGTCTGTAGAATTTACATTCGAATGCCTGAATCCTCCTTTCCATTTCCACAGTGATAGTCTAACTCTCACATTTGTATAAGAAAAAATAGACAGTACCAG